TTTGATCAGTTAATGTGTTTTTTATGCATAGTGCTAGCAGTTGACACATATAGAGCTCAGCGGAATAATATAAATTAAAGCATCTGACCAATGAGAATTTCGCGTCACGATTTGAGACGCAGATATTCAAATTCATTAGTCATCGATGCAGGCTCTCAATTCAGCTTGAGAGCCTGTTCGCAGGCTAATTTGATGTAAACAAACTCAATTAATAATTACTAGTATATTTTTTCACCCTAATTGTGACTAAAAGCTTGCATATAAGAACCTACAATTTAAGAACCTGTCAGGCTAAAATTTTTTATTTAGACACCCTAAATAAGAATTTGTTTAGGCTAGCAATTCAGGTTTTTATTTTATCACATGAAGACAAATCAAATCTAAAAATGTATATAAATCAAAGAAAATAAACTCTTCACAAAGTCAAAGTAATGAAAATGATCCAGAACACTGAAAATGTCATTGAGATAAATAAAGTGTCAGCAGCTTTACAGTATAGCTTTACCGCGGCATAGCTATTAGTTAGATAATTTGTGCGCAATTTATATATATGTATATACATGTAAATTATACCTCGAATACCAAAAATGAGTCGCTTTTCTTTAAGAATTTAACCTAATTTCCAAGCTCTAATGATCATGTATTCACTACATGTATTGTCCAAGGTGGGATCTGGGAATTTGAAATCCGAGCTTTCTTTCTCCTAGATGGATTGCCTCCTACACAAAGCAATCTGAAACACAAGCCACTTCATATTGTACTATGATTGCCTAATCTTGTGTCACAAAGAGTGGCACCATCCCATATATAGGTATATATTGTCAGAACAAGCTGCCATGCCCATGGCCTGTTTTGTGACATGAAATCAGACAACACTGCAGTAAAACCCTAGACTAGACAGTAAAACCCTAAGAACCTAGATTTTTTCCAAGTTAGCCTAAACAGGTTCTTATGTGAATGGTGCTTACCTGAATTCATGTCACAAACTGTAATTATATTTAGTATATTCAGTACTTTCAGGGGGGGGGGGAGCACAAGCCCTTGAGTCATATTCATGCCTATCCCTTGGATATATGTGTTTTAATAATAATTGTTTATAAATTATTTGTATTATCATATAACCCAATAAATCTGTTAAGAAAAAGAAAGACTGATTCGTTGATGTAAATAAACATTTCATCAGTGTTTCATGAACATTCTGATGGGCTCTGATATACAGCGAAACAAGCATATATTTAGCAATTGTCCTCTGACTCTGTCTTGAAGAGATATGATGAACTAACGTGATCACTAGATTGACCAGAATTGTTCAAGTTAATATTGCTATTAGATCATTCAGTGTCACAAGAATATTATCATTTAGTGTCAATATGAGAGTAATATCAATGAATTCATACTTCCAGTTCATAATTTCAAAACATACATATTTATAACACAACTGAAAAGTTGAATATAATCTTAGCGTCTCGTCTTTCGTCACTGTCAATCTATTGAACTCTTTTGTTGTTTATAACGAAATCATCTCCATAGCGCGCACGAGCTTGAACAAATAAAGCTGTATATCCATCTTTTGCACGGTCAAAAATTTCGCCCTTGGCTTTGCCACGAAGACAGGAACTGCAACCACATTCTCAATCACACTTGTTTCGAATTTCGTCAAGCGAAAAGCTTTACCCAAGGCCAAGCGCTTCTGTCGTAATGACAACAACAACACTGGCAACATGTTTCGAGGGATTGATACCGCATTAAATATTTTCATGATGAGACACAAACTCCAAAGGTAAACACAAATTATTCGAACTCACACCTTCGGGATTTCGGTTCGCCGCCCCAGCTGTTGATATAGCAAGTCCCACAACGTTCAAAACGGCCTCTTTATAACTTTATTCACGATGTTTACAGTTAAACAGTTACAGTATAAGATTGTGTTTATATTGTGTACAAAAATTTCCAGTGTAGAAATGTACAAGAAATGAAGCGAAGTATTGTCAAACATTGCACTCCTCGGTCACAAATTATGTGGAATGTTACTTTGAACTCGTCATATACTTCATCTTATATAATTAATGTGGATCAAAACAAAAAATGATACTATAGCATAGAAATCAACTTTTTTTGTTTTAAATACTCAAATATAATTTCATAATCATAATGGTAGTGGTCAACTCGAAAGCTTCTGCTCCTTTGACCACTACGCACTCTTCATCTGTAAATACATATTATGGAATATTAATGTAAATATATAGTAGGCCTATACTTGTAATACATAATCTTGTAAGAAAGAAATAAGTGCAAATAAAACTGAACTGAACTGAGCTAGCGTACCCGCGAAAACTGGCCGAATGCAAGTGGTCTCACCAACTCTGTGTCAAGAAATATAGTCGTTTAGATGCCTTAATTTCTAACAATTTCCGAAATATTATACTTATAGTTCCACTTTTACTAGATTGTTTGATATATTTAGGCCCAGCATTTTAACAGCTTGATACAACATAAATTGTAGCCTGCGCGCAGACTATATAATGATATATATAGACCAAATCTTTATTGATATGAAGGAAGTGACTCTTGAAACTATTACCTTTTTGACCAAGATATGACCAAGATTTTCGCCATCCCACTCGAGGTGACTGCATGATTGTCAGTCGAAGGGTTTTATACATGGAGATTTTATGGCGTGCCAAGATGGACAATATTACTTTACGTCCATTTATATAATGTATATTTCAAATATATAATTTCAAATCTATATTTGTAAGCCGAAATTGCAATATATAAAACGAAACAGAAATATGTAAAACGAAACAGAAATATATACAACGAAACAGAAATATATAAAATGAAACACTCGTATATAAATCGAAACACCCATATATAAAACGACATTAGTATATATATAAAACGAAATATTCCAAAATATATGAAACGAATTTTCCCAAATATATGAAACGAAATTCGTCAAATATATAAAACCAAATTCCTCAAATATATAAAACGACATTTTACTAAAATAAAACGACATTTTTGGCGGAGAAAGAGCGCGCTAAATTATCCGGAGTAAATGTTCTGTAAACCGCGCTTATGCAAATATGGCGGGCAACAGAAATCTGCAAAGTTTATCAAATCCTGTCAAAGCAATTTCTCGATTGAGTCAAAATAGCACAGAGACCCGTAATCGTGGGGAGATGCAAGAAACTACAGACGACGTGGAAGCAACGATACGAACGCTCTTTCCTTCAACGAATGGTCAGACAGAAGCAAACCGAAATGAAATTCGTGTGGTCGCTGAACATGACACCCTGATTTCATCAGGCCCCCACTTCTCGCACATTGGTAGGTGCTGCTGCAGCGTCAGCCGCAACCACACAACGCATAGAGTTAATTTATACAGTTTATGCCTTCTGCATTATTTTGTAATATGAAGTAAAGAGTTTTTTGACTCATCAATGTAATTGTTCTTTGCCTTCGCAGTACGCCACCCTCCTTGCCTCTGTAGCAGGCGGTCTGGAATACCGAGAGCAGCTGCACTTGTAGCACCACCAGATCGTAAACTGTGAAGTCCGTAATCTTTAGCATCAAGGACCTTCCTTCACTAATTCTTTCTTGACCAACTCGCTAGCACGCCTGTATGTCATAGGTGTGCTCAGAAGTATCTGACCATATTTGGTACATATTTGGTTCCAAATATGGTCAGATACTTCTGAGCACACCTATGACATACAGGCGTGCTAGCGAGTTGGTCAAGAAAGAATTAGTGAAGGAGAAGGAAGGTCTTGATGCTAAAGATTACGGACTTCACAGTTTACGATCTGGTGGTGCTACAACTGCAGCTGCTCTTGGTAGTCCAGACCGCCTGCTACAGAGGCAAGGAGGGTGGCGTACTGCGAAGGCAAAGAACAATTAAATTGATGAGTCAAAAAACTCTTTACTTCACATTACAAAATAATGCAGAAGGCATAAACTGTATAAATTAACTCTATGCGTTGTGTGGTTGCGGCTGACGCTGCAGCAGCACCTACCGATGTGCGAGAAGTGGGGGCCTGATGAAATCAGGGTGTCATGTTCCGCGACCACACGAATTTCATTTCGGTTTGCTTCTGTCTGACCATTCGTTGAAGGAAAGAGCGTTCGTATCGTTGCTTCCACGTCGTCTGTAGTTTCTTGCGTCTCCCCACTATTACGGGTCTCTGTGTTATTTTGACTCAATCGAGAAATTGCTTTGACAGGATTTGGTAAACTTTGCAGCTTTCTGTTGCTCGCCATATTTGCATAAGCGCGGTTTACAGAACATTTACTCCGGATAATTTAGCGCGCTCTTTCTCCGCCAAAAATGTCGTTTTATTTTAGTAAAATGTCGTTTTATATATTTGAGGAATTTGGTTTTATATATTTGACGAATTTCGTTTTATATATTTGGGAAAATTCGTTTCATATATTTTGGAATATTTCGTTATATATATATATATACTAATGTCGTTTTATATATGGGTGTTTCGATTTATATATGAGTGTTTCATTTTATATATTTCTGTTTCGTTGTATATATTTCGGTTTCGTTGTATATATTTCTGTTTCGTTTTATATATTGCAATTTCGGCTTACAAATATAGATTTGAAATTATATATTTGAAATATACATTATATAAATGGACGTAAAGTAATATTGTCCATCTTGGCACGCCATAAGATTTCGAGTATAAATCTTTTACATTTGTGAGACCTAACCAGGAATATTTGCGGAAAATGAAACTAGAGGACCTCTTGCAGACATCGAACCTAGCTGTGGTCATGCGATTCTGGGGCAGTTGTCGAGTTTTAACCACAAGTTCTAGCTTGTATATATACTTTACGGTATTATGCCAATCAGCCAATGCAATGTGTAGGTGTAAACATCACGATAATAGCTATAAACTGACGACCATGTACGAGTCAAGTGGAAATATGAAACCGCTTCGCGAAATCTAACACGTGCGTGCGCCACAATGCAAATGTGTATTAATATGTCACAGACTGAACACAGTGCTGTTTCATTCTGTGATTTTAGTTTTGAAGCTATACTATGAAGGCCACAATATTTAAGCTTGCGGTAATCTTTACGGTGTTAACTACATATGTAAAGGCAAAATCAAGACTAGGGCCTATGGTCACAGATAAGGTATGTAAGTTTCTTTGCTCTCTCTTATTATAATTATATTCTGTGGCTGATAATATAGACGTAATAATTTGTGAACAATGATACGCTGTTATAATATAACATGTTATATGCATGTATTTATATGCGTAGAGCTGTACCGTGTACGTCGACTGAACGCATTTATTTAAGTGTAAGTCGATTTAAGATCTATTATTTGTATCGTTCATTTAATAGGCAATTGTAATATTTCATCCCCCAATGGCTCATGGCTGCATTGGACCGGTGAAATACAGGGTTCCAAATGAGGCCAGTTGTGCCTGGGAACCCAATCTCATAAATTTTCCAATTTTAGGCAAAGAAATGGTAAAAATTGAAAAACTAGGCAACCAGAAAGCGTAAACTAGGACACCCTGATATAGGTCACAAAATTGGTTGTCAGTTTGTGTTGTGTACGTGTATTCTACATTATCGTGCTTAATTTCGAAATATTCTGCTATATACCCTGTGTAAAGCTGTTTCCGTATTATATTATTAATCTCTGTTTTAGGAATGTTTTTATTCTGTCAACATGTCTAGATTTAGATTAAAACAACGTCATTACGCGCGATTGGTATTTTGGAGTCTGGGAACGTCCTAGTTTTTGACGACAACAGCCTAGTTTTTTTCCAAATAAGGTAATTCTAGGACGTTCTCAGACCCCTGCGCACAAAAAACTAGGACGTTTCCAGTCTTCTTCACCTTCTCACGCCCAGAAAACTAGGCAGTTTGCATTTATATAATTACAATGCGTGATATCAAATTACATTTGCGCAAATCTGTCGCAATAACATTGGCGTAAACAGAAAAAAAGCAAGAAATATATTCCTTGTATTCAGTACAGCTACAAATAGTACAATGTACTGAATATTGGTTATTACGCTTATCACTCATTTATCGAGGCAATGATTATTCACGCAAATAACGCAATGACGAATTGTGATTCATGTTTGGCATACATTACATCAACTAAATTGGATTCTTCGGTGTTGTTTTTAAAGCTGTTGTTTCTAATAATGTGGATTGTGGGCATAGGTATGGTTTTGTTTTTTAGTTTGAGTACTAAAACTAGAGTTTTTATTATATAAACCAACGTCTATATATAGACTCTATACATGAATTGTAAAAGTATATCACACTCATCTCTAAGCTGTACTTGACCTTTAAAAACGGTAACTTTATGACGTCACAGCTAACATGCAAATTGTCTGGTATTGATTTTCAAAAGAACTTAGAACGGCAATTTTATAAAGACATTACCAATACCAGAAATGCTAATTATAATGTTTTATAGTGCAGTCATACCTAACATGCCAATTTCCATCAGTACTGGTATCAAAACCTTTACAGACATATATTACTAAATATAGTACGTATCAAAACATGTATCATTAATTCATTTGCGTTAACCTTATAAGCCTCTCGCAAAAAAAAGTTTTAGGGGGGGTACTTGAAAACTTGAAAATTGGGCTATTAACTGTTTTAATACTGAACCCCAGGCACAAGAAAAATGCCATTTGGAACCCTGTGAAATATGTAACAATATTGCACTTCCACGGCATTCGAAACTACATTTAATTGCACAATTTCGCCTTCCGAGTTACGCGATACTTACGAAAAAATAATTTTTAATTGTCTTTCGTTTTTGGCTACTTTAGTTGATACAAAATTCTTATCATTTTTATTTAATTTAACATTTTTATTTAACTATTTACAATAATAATTACTAATATTATATTATATTACAGAGGGCTAGAGGCCATTGGAAACCTGTATAGGCTTCCAATGGCCTCTAGCCATATGTATGATTTAGTTATCTTATCATATGTATGATTTAGTTATCTTATCATATGTATTATTTAGTTATTAACGGACAATATTGGGGGGAGGAGGGGGGGGGGGGATAGAGATCGCCAAGTGTTCCAGTAAACGCGACAATAGGCCAAATAGGGTATGTGACCAAATTTACTAGTTGTGTTCATGATAAGTTCGAATATGCTTAAGGCATTGAGAGCACATGCTTTCTCAGCCTTTCTCTCAACTATACAAATATATACTCTTGTAAGTTGTTCAAATACGATGACGTAAGGCATGAGTCCATAGCTTTGTGATTGGACACTTTGAATTCGAGGTATAAAATTCTTAGTATAATTAAGTATAAGGAGATTATTGAAAATTCCCCACGCTGATTGGTTGCCGTTGAGGTGATTATAACGCGATATTCACCTACATGCGATTTTCGAAACGGCGGCCGAAGCCGTTTTGTAAATTAAATGACCAAGAAATATTTTTAAACTTTTTCCAAATAATCACCTGAACCTATAAAATCATACGAAAGTTATTCACCTCTGGCTCAGTGATTAATTATCGTGAATAGAAACCTTGACTTTGTGTCGGTTGTTATCCAGCGATAATCACCTCGTTTTCGGCGAAAAGTTGTTAAATAAAATAACTCAGTCAGCAAACAATGATATTAATATATTATTATCATTTGTTCTCTTCCAAAACAACTGGTGCTCTCGAACACTAATTCAGAGATCAGTCAACGTTCTTGGCTTGCTTGCGTGACGGAAGTACAGTATCACTATATACACTGTTATTTTCAGGGAGTTAAAATAACTCCGGAAAAGGGGGTTAGCAAAAAAGGTTCAAAATAATCCGTTTTTTGGGGTTACAAATAACTCCATTTCTGGGGTTAAAATGTAACTCCACTTTTGGGGGTTAATCTAACTCTCATATTGGAGTTAAAATCTAACCCCTATACAGGGGTTACATAATTTTAACTCCGTTTCAGGAGTTAAACCGGTACTCTTGAAGACGTTTCCTCATCTTTTTAATTATTTTTACACATTTTTAATGTTATGAAAACCAAAACAATGAAAAAACATCACTTAGTTTTCATAACATTAAAAATTGCGTAGAAATAATTTAAAAATGAGGGAAAATCTTCCGAGAGCGTTAGTTTACGGAACGCTTTCTAACTACTTCATGCAACTTACCTCGTAAAACGGGGAAGTATCGAGAAACCTACCAATCAGTCTAATTATACTAAGCCAATTGCTTCATCTAAGCCAAAAAGTACGCGAGAAAGTTTTCTGTGAAATATATTTTATACAAACTAGCCATGTATTTCTAGAATTAAAGCTCTACAACTTGATTTCAAACCATGCATCATTGACACATTAAGTTACTGTCAAATTTAAATGTTCACAACTGAATTCATATACATTTGTCAAAGACAACAAGTACTATCACAATGGTAAAACTTCAGTAAATGTGTTTACAGTACAGTACAGTACAGTACAGTACAGTACAGTACAGTACAGTACCCGATTATAGTAACCGACGAAGCAAGATATTTCCTAATCTTGCATGAAATTGAATTAATAATTTCATCTGAAATTAAATATTAATGGAATAATGCCCAACATTTCCCCCTTGACAAGTAAATTTTCTTGAATATAGACACAGTAAACTGACAAAGTATTGTAGATCACATTAAGACATGATATGCATTATAGCCTTATGGACTGAAATTTGCCCTGGATTTTTCAAATTGAAAATTAGGAATTATGTTGTTTTGTTAGCCCATTTATACAGGCAAGGTGCTCTGTTTATTACTACCTGTATGGCAATAACACTTGATTGCCTCACACCACAAATTTTACTTGTCAAAGAGAGGCAGCTTGGCATGTACAATGAGACAAGGATAGGTAAAAAAGAAAGACTGTATTAAATTAATCAATACACAGTAAATCCCCTTGCTAAAGAAATATGTTGCATGTTGATGTAGGCAGCAAATTAATTAATAAAGTGCCTGTAATTACTTTCGTCCTGAATCTGTTGATTGCTCAAGAATCAATTGGATTGCTCAAGAGAGTTTCTTTGATGAATTCATTTATACAGCATGACATAGTTGACACTTGTCGACATCGAACCAAATCAATATCTTGATGTAAGACAATCGGTTTCAAATGGCCGGTTATAGATATCATGATGACCATATCCAGGCTATGATTCTTTTCCATCTGAAGTGTTTTGGCATGTTAGTACCAACCTACAATATTAAATAATAAGCATTTACCACATGACAAATGTAAAGCTTGTACTACATCTAAGACACATTTTACTATTGGTTTTCAAAGTTGTGACTTCAAAAAACTTGAGTATAAATCATAGCTGCAAAAACCTGGCAATGTTCATAGAGGAACTAATTTCATATTATAATATTTATATCAAACTAGTTTTCCATGGTTCTGAAATGGAATTCATTGAGGAAGCCATTGTCAGTTGCCTTTGGATCCTAAAATTCTTAACACCAAATAATTGTGAGAATTTGTACCGAGGGTCTCCCAGGGCTGGTTTTAGGGAACCAGGGAACAATGCATATTTTGCAATCAGAATTCAAAGAAAAAAAATGATAGAAAACAAGGGACCATAAAGTTTGGAAAACAAGTAAACATGGTGAAATCTTTGTGGGGAAAAAGGAAACATTTGCAAGGGAATACATATCCCTCATAATTATGATGCCCTATACTAGCTCTTGTACTCTACAGTGAAATATTAGTTTTTGCACCTTAATTATTTGAAGCTTGAGCCATCACTGGTGCTGCAAAGAAAGCCATGACCAATTCTTCTTCTCAATATGCCTACTGAATAATATAAAAAACTTATATCAGATTCTAAAAACATAAAACCTTCGTCACGTTTCAAAGGTTGCCCTCTTTTGACCATAAACGTATCGCATTTTATAAATTTTATACACAAACAGAAGCTAATTTTTATGAAAAACAGGACAGATCTCGTCCTGATTTATTTGACTTTGGGGTAAACTGCTATTTTAATACTTGGACTCTTGGTCTTTCATGAACCGTCTTTCTCAAGAAAGGCGGCCTGCCTTCTGGAAAAAACTCGCCTGGCACACCATGTAAAATTTGCTGAAGGTCCATTTCAGTCTTACACGAAAGAAATACTATTTCAATCTGCACTAGAAGTATTTTAAATGTTGACAGCCTGGACAGTCGCCGTGTGTTTAGCCTGTTTGAACGCGAAACCACCACAGGCTTGTTTGTAGGAAAATTGAATGCAATATACCAAAAATATAATATAAAAGTCCATAAGACACAACCTTACCTTCAAATATATATTCTAAACCAGTACACCGGTACTCTTCTGGCATTTTTCTGTAAAAATATCCAAGTTTAATCAAGAAAATTTTGTGCTAAAACCTGAAGTAGAAAATCTCAACAAATAAATGAAGAAAAGAGCGGGAAAATAATTATCCCGGTCGGGAAATTGAACTCTTGTTGATTACTGGATGCTAATTGGACAGATTCCTAACTAACTACCGGGGAAAATTTCCCTCGGCACTTTGCGTCTCCTTGGCAAATGTAAACAACAAAAAGATTTGTAGATTTCATATATTTTTTGATATGTCCGTGTACGGAGAAATATGCAGCAAGTTGGACAAAAAATCGCACTGCGAGAAAGTAAGTACTCTCGATATAATAGGCTCTTTTGATAATGGGCCCTATTGACTGCCCATTGTATTAAAGCTTTTTGCTTTTATGTTTAAAATATAGGTGGTTCCATAGTTGCAATTACTATACTATACTGTTCTATTATAGTGTACTGCCTGCTACTCTTCTAGAAAAAACTGCACTGTGCAGTGCCTTACTACAGTGCCTTACTGTAATGTGTAGTACATACTATATGTCTATATTGACTGGTTGGTTCCATACTTTTAATATTGTGTTCTGCCATACAGCACTGTGTGGTGCTGTATTTATACTATACTGTGGTGCCATGCATACTACATTGTGGTGTTGCTCTATGCTGTATTGTGTGATTCTGTATTCTTCTGTGTTGTGGTGCCTTCTGTGTGAGCCATACTATACTAGAGCTAGCATGCTTCGCTCTGCAGTACACAGCCCAAGACAGACCAGTATGGCAGAGTAGTGTCATACATTACAGTACACTATAAAACAAAGTATGGCATGCCATGCTCTAGTATATAGTATGGCTCAGTACGGTACGGTACAGTACAGTATGACAGAACACAATTAATATCAAAAGTATGGAACCAACCAGTACAATATAGATATACAGTATGTACTATACACTACAGTAATGTACTGCACAGGGCATATACTATTGCTGGGCCATGCTTTACTGTGTGGAATGTTTATATACTGTACTGTGGTGCCATACATGCTATATTGGGGTCTTGTAGATGGAAATTATCAAGTGGAAATTTATACACATTTATTAGACCTATTAACCAGGAACAGCTGCAAAAAATGCAACTATATAGGTCCCTGGCAGGAATATATATATATACATATACCTACAGTACCATTCTGTATTCGCAGATTCGCCCATTCTGTAGCCGACGGTGCTTCTATCTGCTATATGTAGTGCTTTTCTGTCTTTAGCGGTGTGGTATATTCCATTCAATTATGTCCAATATATTATGTTATTAATTTTTCTATGCTTTGTTGTGCCATAATACCCCACTATATAGTGTGCTAGACTGTGCTATAGTGTATGCTGTATTAATTGCACTGTATTAAACTGTTCTATACCATACACGTATATGCTAAGCTGTGTTGTATTGTATTCAGTTGTGTCATACTCCTGCTGTGCTGTGCTGTGGTATGCAGTGCCATATTGCACTATATTGTGCTGTACTGTGATGTGTTACGTACACTGTTTTGAATATGCTTTACTGTTTTTACTGCACTACTATACCATACTGTGTGTATACCATACTTTACCATATCTTAATGTGTTGAGCTGTCTCATATTGTATTGTTGTGCCACACCGTACTCTACTGTTCAAGTGCCATACAGTGATTATATGCTGTACGGTACTATATGCAGTGCCTTTACTATACTGGCTATGTTACTACACTACATTGTGAATATGATGTTGCACTATTCTGTATTGTTCTTTACTTTTTTGTATGGCACCACTATGTGATATACCGCTCTGTGCCATATACCCACTGTGCTATTATTTGTGTCATATTGATTTGTACTGTGCTGTTGTGTACTCAGTTATGCTGTACAGTACAGTACAGTACTGTTCTGTTCTGTGCCAAATGGCTGACAGTGTATTATTATTCTTGTGATGTGTTGCACTATGCTGTGCCATATTAACACTACGGTACATAGGTTGGACTGGGCTGTGGTAAACTTTTTTTGGCCCATGACGCCCTACTTTAGTATTTTACTTTGTATAATCCCAGACGATTTTACTAATTCTCAAGGCTGAGAAGGTATTGCACATAGCTCAAACAATCACCTCAAACTGTATTGTGCTGCACTGAATTGTTATGTGTTATAAACTTTGCTGTATTTCACTGCATGTGCTACCGTAATCTGAACCATATGGGAAATTGTGCTGTACTGTCCTTTGATGTACTGCATTCTCAGGAATATAATTGTACTGTAATGTACTGTGCTATGCAAAATTGTAATATATTTTGTTGCACTGTAATGAAATTTACTGTATTTTGTGTTGTCATGCATAGCTATCATGTCTTGTTTTAACTAATCAATAGTGCATTGTATTGTACTGTATGACAAGGTACAATGTAATTGCTATGTTTAAATTTAATGTAATAAAACACATCACAACAGAATATTAGAAATAAGTTGTAATAAAACACTGCATCATTGAGCTGCTGTGACCAAGAATGTCACTCCTCTCATCTGAATATTTATATTAAACACGAAATAAAACATGTTCTCTTACCTGAAACATGAATAATGTAGTTCTTGTTTCCCTTTTGTATACGTTGTCACGTTCTTTTTCTTGAGTGCAGTTGAAAGGAAAGCAATCTGAGCGAGTTAAAACTATTAAAAATAGCCGAAAACACGACGCCATTTTGCTTCCAGGCTCCTATAACAAATAACTCCAATAAAGGGAGTTATATTTGAATAACTCCACTAACTAGTTTGCCAGCGTCCTCTAACTCCTCAAAAAGAGTTATTATAACTCCTGATATGGGGTTAACATAGCCCTAAAATTTTAACTCCACCAAAAAGGAGTAATAGGGGAGTTATTTTAACTCCCTGGAAATCTGTTACTCCTCTCACAGAGTTATTTTAACTCCAAATTTGGAGTTAAACTAACCTTAAAATTTTAACTTCACCAAAAAGGAGTAATAGGGGAGTTATTTTAACTCCCTGAAAATAACAGTGTAGTCACTGGCGTCGGGAAGCTATAAGGACCGTAATGTAGCAGTTAAATTAAACAGTTTAGGATGAGGATGGACGAGGATGAGCCAATAGCGGCCATATTGTTGTGACCACCGCACACTGGTGTGACCTACAATAGTGTTCCTGACATGTTAGAGAAGGTTCTTTTGTTGTTTTCATGATTTGTATAGGAATAAAAATATATCGTATCGAGAGAAATTGGTTATTAGGGGTGGACCATAAGATATCTGATGGGGGCGGGGGGGGGGGTGTAAATCCCAAAAATAATCGAGCAAGCACTTCTGATTTAAAAAAAATTTTGAGCAAAACAACTATGACTGAAAAAAAATATCCATGCACCCCTTAGTGACCTCTCTTCGTTCTAAAATTGACCAATGAATAATGAATAATGAATAACGTCGCACGAGTATGGGCGCCTCCATTTTCATTGTCTGCAGCTTAAATCGATCTAAAACTCATATCTTTCAGGAAGACTGCTAGCGGTTTCAAAAGTGGGGAAGTGGGTGGTCATCCCACTGATCTCAAAATATTGCCGATTGCCAGGAGTGGAATGAGCCAACTGCTAAGATTTCAGTTTAAAAGAATGAAAACATATGAAAAAGCCGTTTCATACAATGAGCTGTAAAGCAATTTTTTAAATTTTACTTTAAATAAATGACAAGAAGAGATACAAGACTGGAAATGATGAAATATAAAGCAAGTTTTTTTTTATTTGTAAACGTGTACGTTGTTTTCGGGTTTTCCACTTGCCTCCTAAATTGCCCTATTTTATATTAAAAAAAGCTTATAGAATTAAAAAAGAACTAAGTTATTTCCAAGAGCGAACTGTACATATGATTGAAATGAATTCGTTGCAAGTAATAAAAAGACTAAGTTAAATAGTTGATTCAATCGGCAAAAACTGCCAAACAATTGACCACTTGCGTAATGGACTAAATTTGATCTAGACAAAAATTTCACAACAGCTTGAAAGAGCATCACAAAATTAGTAATATTCCAAAGTTTCGTTGCGAAATGTTGTAAAATGCGGATAATGTAGCCTTGCGAAATTTGCAATTTTTAGTCATTTTAGATTACAAACAGGAAATTGACAGCGATCTATTACGATGCTGCAATTATCCAAACTTAAATTTTGACAAAAATACTCGCATTGATTTCACTTCTATTTGAGAATAATAGGATATGCCTGCGGTGTCTCAAACGTTTGAGTCCAGTATTATCAGTATTTTAGAATTATGCGGCCTGTGGCGCCGCCAAGATTTTATTGGGGGGGGGGGGGGGGGCTTATCGACTTAATAATTAGTGAGTCACAATTCCAGAAGGGTCCTGGCGCATGCTCCACCGAATGTTGGGCGTCCGAAATGCCATTTCGTGTATTGTGGAGAAAAATATAAATGTCTCAATAAATTACCTTAGTTTAAAGGTAGTTTTCCACTAGGCGGAATTTTCCGCGCTGAGCGGAATTTCTCTTTGTCTTGTGATTTCTCGCGTGCAACTACAGTGTAATTCGAAAAGACAAAGAGAAATTCCGCTCAGCGCAGAAAATCACTTTAGCAGTGCCAAATAATGATTTGAGATGAGATGAGATGAGATGAGGGTATTGTAGAATAACCCATAAAGTCATTTTTTATCATGAATTGAAATTTTGACATTTTTTATCATGAATTGAAATTTTGACAGTCATCAAGTTTCGTTTGATCATGTTCTATATGTTCCAAATTTCCAGGTTTTCGTTGACGTGACGATAGGTGGTGAAAAAGCTGGCCGTATTGTTATTGGTCTGTTCGGCGAGGTCGTTCCAAAAACCGTGAGAAATTTTGTAGCATTAGCTACCCATGAGGTAAAGTGTAAAGCCTGCCGCTCCATGACGAAATTTACTGAGTTTTGCGTGGCTAGCTCAGCATGTTTTTCTGGTGTGCGAATATTTTTCCTGAGGATTTAACCTGAGGGAAATATCTATCGTTTTCGATATTTCTCACCTCGCGAGAAAAAAAATCTCATCGTCTGCGGATGCGAGCTTAGTGGTGAGCTGCTTGAATTAACTGGCCAATGAGAACCCATAGTCCCTTCATGTGATTTTGGTCAAAGTGGCGACAATGCAAACGATCATATCAACGATGTTGCTGTTGAGAAATTTTCCCAACGTATACAGTAAACACGAAGCTCTAGGAAGATGTTCTGTGACTGGTTGATTATGACAATGACAAAAGACGTAATTGTCTTACATAAACAAAAGGAATATTGTTCCTGCTTCGTTCTTTAGAAAATCTATTCGATAGCTTATTCTTTTGTCATTGTCATAATCAACCAATCGCAGAACATCTTCCTAGAGCTTCGTGCCGACCCAACGTATGCAGTGAAAATGCGCAGCTAAGCTAAAACTTAACGCCACGCAAATTTCTCTCGTGTGTGGCAGGCTTAAGCTAATTTTTTTTTTTTGAGGAGCATATACAGCTATTTCAATTAAGGTTGTCCACGAGCAAAGCGGAAAAGTCGAATACGAGCGCGAAAGGCTGCTGGGAATCGCTATGAAAGTTCATTCATTTGTTAGCGATTCCCAGCAGCCTTTTACGCTCGTATTCGACTTTTCCGCTTTGCTCGTGGACAACCTTAATTGAAATAGCTGTATACAATATTTCAGCACATTGGAAATACAACGAAGTAAATTAAATAATCGTCGACGTACCGTGAGGAATGCTTTATTTAAGGCGGTTTTCCAGTCCTCGCTCGAAGCTCCTCGCTGCGAGTGCTTGCATCTAATTAAAATGAACTGTTTAGCATTGTGATTGGATGAAAGTGCTCATGCATAACAGGTAGGCAATTTGTCTGCGCATGCGCGCAGAAAATCAATATGGCGACATATATCAGGAGTGTTTCGAGGATTTATCTGGTTTTAAAGCTGATAAAACAACATTTTAATGAACGGAAACTTTGTAATATTTCGTGGAAAACATTAAGCTGTGCATTCCAAAGGTTTTAAATAAAAATAAGTACTTTTGCTTTATTTTATTGCTTTTTATCCTTTGAAAACAGGCAAGCTCATATTTTTGGAATATTTTTTATCTAATATTTTACCCATTATTTGTTGAACAAAAATAGATAGAACACTTGGCTATATAAGTTATAAAGGTATTGTTAGCTGATCTGAAAGATTTCAGTATTCCAGGTACACAATTTGACAAAGAATAAAATTAAAATATATGCATATCAAAAACAATGGTTTTATTAGAACAACACAGAATAAGTTGTTATTTTCTATTTTTACAAAAAACAAGTTTGAAAACAGGATCTAGTCCTCCAGCTTGATGTCATATTCCATTTATTTGGATATTTGAATAAAGGAATGTGAAATAATAATTGAAACTTGTCCAAAATTTGATACCAACACTGGAATGAACAGATACTATCACCTAAAAATAAAAGAAAACAGAACCTAAATTTATCATATAATGCTAAGAAAAAATCTTAGATACTACATGCATATAGTGAACACAACTCTCTAACAAATTCACTAAAATAAGTCAAGTTATGTTACGATAAGAGGATGGCAATATATGACAACATCAAATATTACCATCTTCAGTGTCCAAAAAAAGTGCCGCGCGCATTTTTCGTGGTCGCATAACTGGCATTGCCACAAACCCAGGTGAAAAAGCAATTAGAAAAACCTGGTTTTGGGTGATGAGCATAGTCAATTTCTTGACTTATTCAATTTTCTAAGTTTTTCCAGGTAAACAGGTTCAACATTGAAATAATCCCCATTCGGGATCTCATAGGGTCCAAAGTATTGTGTATGGACCAGATTTTTTTCAATTTTCTGTGATTTACATAACACTAGTTATAATTTAAGGGTCAACCAGTATTGTTCAAGACATATTTTCCTTCCAGAACACCTTTTCAAAATACTAACCCAAGCATGTCAAAAATAGTGTACATTTACAAGGGCAATTTCAACCTCTTGGCACATTTTTCCCATGAATGATTTTAATTCTAATATAAAGACTATAGATAAAACTTTGATTTAAAGCTAGTTTCAAGTGATGAGCATACCCTAAATTTTAAGCTATATCTCAAAGAAGATAGGTCATTTCAACATAAACATTGAAATATGGGTATACTGACAGCTCTGTCACACGTGTAGTTTGACATTAGCAAACCTTCTGAAACATTTTAATGAAAATATAATTCACAAAGTTCACATTTTTACTTACTTCTTAACATCTGTTTTAATCCAACTAGCTCTGTAGGCACCAGCAAAATTTAGTGTTGATGTAAATATCCATTTTGTTCATGTTTCCCCGGTGAAAATATAGTCTATTCCAAAGCTGATTTCGACGTACTTTAGCTTTTCAGAAATCGTTGGCATTCCTCAGTGAGATTATTAACTGTTTCACAAACATATTTGATAGTAAACAGCTAAAATATTCTCCGAAAGTCTATATTTTTGCTCTTCGACGCGAAAATGGAAACTCAAAGAAGAAATGAGCCGCTATTTTTGATCAGCGTCGACAAATTGCCTACCTGTTCTCATGCATCACTCGCAGCGATCTGCGAGGAGTTTCGTGGGAGGACTGGAAAACCGCCTTTACTCTGCTGTGCCAGGAGGAATGCTTTATTTACTCTGCTGTGAGGAATGCTTTATTAATTATTTGCTGTGCCGCGAGGAATGCTTTATTTACTCTGCTGTGAGGAATGCTTTATTAATTATTTGCTGTGCCGGGAGGAATGATTTATTTTGTTTGAGCAAATTTGTCGATCATTTTTCAGCTTATGAGTCCGATGGTGTTATTTTCTGTTAAGGATAATATTATTCTCTTTCTGTTATTTTTCCAGAAAGGCTTTGGCTTCAAAGGAAGTATTTTTCACCGAGTAGTTAAAAATTTTCTAATTCAAGGTAAGTTGCATATACCGTACACTCTATTCATAATTCATTACTGCATATATTGGCGCATTATTGCATTTGGTAACAATTAATGAAGCAATCAAAGTGGACATTGTTGATTTAAATGATCTGATGCAGTTTCCTTTTTTCTGCTAAAGTAGCCCCTGTGGAAGCTCCATTAGGGAGTTTAAGATGCTGACAACGAACAACGGGTACGGAGTACGGTTGAAAGCTTGTTTTCGCATTACTTTAATAGAGGCAGACAAAATTTACATATCCCCAGGGCATACTTTTCACCGTAGCGACCTTGGCTGCAGCGTAAAAATCACATTCTTGTGTTGTAAAACAGAATCAAGAACATAGCACCAAAACTGACTACGCAACGTTGCAAGTTGAAGAGTATTTTTATAAAGAAATGATGAAAATTAAAAGATGAAACTTACCGAGCACAAAACCATGCACATAAAACATATTTGGGATAATTTTTTTATAACAATCATTTAGTATTTGCATACATATTTAGCAAAAAATATTTCAACCGTAGTCGATAGTTCGTCGTGAAGATCTTAAACTCCCTAATGGGGGACGGACACCCCCCTTTTAACGGTCTGTGCAAGTTTAGGTAGTGCCAATAATAACTTCGATTGGTAGGGAAATTCGAGGCCCTCTGTCGGTTATGATAGCCTATCAAGATATGATCTGGAAACTGAACAGCAGTAGTTGTATTATGTTTTGTCTGAGTTTATTCTAACTTTGTGCACGGTCACGGTCATTGAGCACATTGTATTTTCGTGTAATTAAGTAACCGTCCAATAGGATAGCTGAGATAAAATGTTCAACCAGGATGAATAATATTTAATGAAGTTGAGACAAATTACAATTTGTGCACGGAGAAGTACAGTTCAACATGAAAACAAGGTCTTCTATTTTGTGGCTTTGAAGTTTGGCGGGCTTCCAGACCATCATATCTTGACGCACTATGCCTTGGGGAAGTTAGTCAAGTTCACTTCCCGACGAAGGGCCTTCGCTCGAAACGTCGAATTTCTCGTAGTATTTTTCAGGTAGTTGCAGTAGCGTAGCCAGCCCGACGATTTAGTCCCGCTATGCAAATATTTTCGTGTTCATTGACTGTGAAAACAATTAATTTCTAAAGAAATGAATAATGATAATAATTTTGAATTTGCATAGCGGGACTAAATTGTCGGGCTGACTATGCCACTGGGTAGTTGCATCCCCCCAGTTTTTGCATGGATATTTTTAATATAATCTATAATAAATGAGTCTAATGTTCGGTTTCGTCCAGAATGAATTTTCGCTCTTGCAATAGTATGTATATCAGTATATGGTTGACATGACGATGATCTTTTACTATAGGCCTCTAGGGAGATCGGTTTAGAAAACTAAAAATTAAACAATTGCAAATTAAAATAAAAAGTCATGGCCCCTTAAAAATCTCCAAATTAGTGATCTTGTTTCAATGGTCGAAATACGAGGTAGTATTTTTTAGCATTAAATTTAAACGAATATAATGATGACAATTACAACCGCGAAAAACAATCCCATATGGATTAGGATTACAAATCGTTAGAAACTTATATGGGGTATTTCTTAAAGTAGTTTTAATGTAAAGTTATCTTACAAATACTTGTTTCATGATTTTTCTTAAATTAACATTAGCTGTATAGACTTGTATATTTTTGCAATGTATATTATAGCAAAAATATGTAATAAAATATAAATTTTTAAATGAAATTGACTTGTCTATTAGATAGTGTGTTCTCCCATAGTTAATACTGTAGTTCTCCTTTTATTCCTCTTCTGTTGGACTAATATTTTCCAAGACTTTGCACTCGATCAGTCTCGATGGTATTTGCATGATCCTTGCGAGATTGGGACACTTCTGGTGCAATTAATGATTTTCGATGGCTGCATGGGGGGAGCGGGAAATCAAAACAATAAGTACAATATGGCGGGGAAATTTATCTTTATCTTGTATAAAAACCACATGGACGAATCTTTGGCACAAGAATGAGTTTAAAAAACATTGTATGGCAAAAAGAGCCTGTGGAGAATAACTGGAAACAGTTTTAAGAAATAATCTCGGCGAGGTGCAGCGAAACGTGACTATGTATTAAAGTCTGTAATACAATTTATAAAGATTTTCTTAATACTCTGAACATATGTTATTTGAGTATGAATAATTTGTCCTAGTTTAAGTTATGTGCCTTTATAAGTTTATGATCATTTCCCAAGTTTGTGTATGCCAAATTGTTTACAATAGAATTAAAAACTCTTGACAAAATGAAGTTAAATTTTAAGGAAAACTATTTTGTCATCATGCCATGCATAAAGTAAATAAATAATCACATGGGCAAGTCGTGCGATTAATTATTAACGGCTTGTGCAATTTTGGCACATTTTACAAATATCACTCGTAGTGTTGATCATTAATTGCACTCCTTCCCATGTGATTACCGCATTGACATTTATATTAAGTGAACTATAATTGCTGATGTTTTATGATTATTGTACATTATTTTTCGTGCCCCCCCCCCCCTACCTTTCTTTGATATTTTTGGTAGCCCTCCCTAAGTGGTTAATAAATTTTTGGTGCCCCCCCCCCCAATATCTTCCGTCCCCACCACCGGCATTAAGAATGACTGCTCCCTTATATGATACAATTGACATGCCCACCTTTTACTTTCATATTTGCATAGGAGGAGATATTCTGCGAGGAGATGGAAGAGGACGTATGTATTATTTTTTCTTGAATTGTGAGAGGTCGAAGATGTTGAATTTCCGGGTTTTTGAAATGGTTTGATTAACCCTGTTTATTTGTATATGTATTGAAACGCATATGTACAGTACTTGAGGAGCAAAAATTCACTATTCTAAGATTCACATTCTAGTCATGATCATGTGACGTCATTAAATACAGGAAGTTCCCTATTTTCTGCCATTTCTGCAAAGTGACCCAGTTACTTCGTATTTAGATAACCTAAGTTCAATATTTCAGTCATTTTGATGGAAGCCTCGTACTGCGGCAGTAAATATGGCTTCCTTTTAATTTTCAGGTATTAGTGCTTATGGTGAAATATTCGACGACGAGAATTTCAAACTCCATCATTATGGTGCTGGATGGATTAACATGGCAAATTTTGGAAAGGATTCAAATGGTTCGATGTTTGCCATATTTACCGTAAACACGCCTTGGTTAAACGACAAACATGTTGTATTTGGTATCGTACTTGAGGGGATGGTATGTGAACAATACTCTTCTTTTTTTATACAATAAAAGTTGGTCTCATCGAATCACTGGAAATCATGATTGGCACATGCGCTGCCCATTACCTTGAGTTATTACTGTATGTAGACAAGTGACCAGTCCGAATAATAATAAGGGTAATAAATTTTGGGAATAATGCAAAACAAAGTCTGAAAAACATCACCTGGAGAAATCCTGCCCTGGTTCCAGAGACTCTTGAAGAACTATGAGGCAAAATGGCGCGGCGAAAGAAATACGAGGCGAAAGAGCATCTGGTCAAATCGATTGCAAATCTCATTTCCATACTTAATTATGTTCAGAACCTGAACCTCCATCTGAAAGGCCTTTTGTAAAAATATGTTGCAAACCGGTTTGGAAAATAAACAAACAATGAACTAATTCTAGCCTGCTAAATGTAGCAATGATTTTAAAACTGTATATTAATATACAAATAGTCAAGTAAAGGCCTAAATGCCTATAATTCCACCAACAGCGAAATCAGCCAACAATTTTCACGCGAAAACACACTTATGCGAAAATGTTCTCTCCTAGTGATTTTCACGGTAAAGAAAAATTCGCCAAACACAAGCATTTGATTGGCTTCGCTATTTTGTCATCCAAAACACAAGCATTTGATTGGCTTCGCTATTTCCATTTCGCCACAAAGTAGAAACGAATTTCATTTCGCCACGAAGTAGAAACGAATTCAAGAGAAATATTTCGCAGAGAAACACTCCAAAATCATGTTGCGCATGCGTTCAACCTTTACGAAATTTTTTGCATTTCGCTCGTTGTGGAATTAGGCCTTAAGGAAGTGAGATTCGCAATCAATTTGACCAGATCGATGCTCTTTTAAGAACCTCTGGAACCAGAGAATTAAAACAAGATTTAGACTATCGATATCTCGGAATAGGCCTGGGAGTAAACCTACAGTAGGAACGATCCTATTTACGAAGGTTGATTAATTTAATAAGCATTTGGAATAGGTATGGACATATGAAGGTTATGACTACCTACAATTTAGGTTATTACTGTCACAGTATATGTCGGTTAATTAATAACCATTGGCCAGGGAGCTAGGCATCCATGATGTGATGTGCTATACAGCCCGGCAAATATATACTGGCTATACAGTAGACGCACAATTTGCCTAATTAATGTTGAGTATCAGTGGATCTAGCCTGCAGTGGATCATGCGTGCAAGCCCGCAGTTTGTATCCTTCGTTGCCAATTATTTTCAGGTGGACATGAAATTTTCGCCTGTCTTGATTGCGCGCAATCTCAGCGTTTAGTAAGATATCATTTATTGATACGGCTTAAACGTTTCCCCCGATTTTATACCTGTACAATCTGCCTGTTCAACGTGTACACTTATTACCCAATTACGAGTACAATAAGACAAAACTGGTATAAGTATAAAATATACCTGACTTGTAGTGGGGCATGGTATAAGTCCATTGGTTCAAAGTTACCATAGTTACCAAATCACCAATTATGTATGCCATTATTTAAAAGCACGTAATTTTGACATTGACTCTTCAACTTCAAAATCTCGGATTTGAAACATATTTCTCCATAATAATGGCCTCATTAAAGTGTATAACTAAAATTTTAACGTACGGCACGGCAAATATTATAAATTTTTGAAACCTTCTTGGTGCGACGTTAAACCAAGCACTTATTTAAAAACAATGGTTGCCAGACAAAATTCTCGTTTTGTTTGCACAAAGAACCTCAAAATGAGAAAAAAAGGAAAACAACGCTAGTTTATGCTGTGAATATGAAAATAAATTTAAAATAGGGCATTAACAATGCACGTGAAGGTTCGGGCGTGGGCGCTTAATTAAAATATGAGGTGTTTGATGGAGGGCGGTTCTAAATCCATCATTTATCCAGTATACTTATTGTAGTGATGTATTTTAGGATGTCGTAATGAAAGTTGAGAATATGGAAGTTGGTTTTGAAGACAAACCGAAGACGGAATGCGCAATTTCAGATAGCGGCGTTCTCCCTTTGGATAAACCATTCCGAGTGGAAAAGAAACCAGTTAAATTTTAACAAAGCTAATACATGTATTGACATTTTAAATATGGTCCTGTCCTGGTTCGTCGCCGTTCGCACTATGGCTAACTTTTTAAATCGCTAATTTAACTTTACAGTTTTCATATGTATGGTTTATCCTCTAAACCTACACATGTACTTCCGCACGGGGGGAAAGGCGTAGAAAATCTTTCTCCTATACCTAAACCGAAATAATTCCAGTAAAAGGGTTACAAAATATCCGTAGGTCTTTAATGTAATATACAGTAGGTCTATTAAATACATCACTTAGACCCAAAATAGTAGCTTATATATAAATATCATTGAAAATCTGTCGTTCTCAGTCTAAAAAGGAAACAAGATGAAAAAAAGTTGGACGAACGGAAAACACTAACCTAAAATGACTAAGTGTTTGTAACACGTTTTGTAGAAAATTTACTCTTTCGTTTTGTTGTGTTACATTATTGCTGTAATAATAAACCAACGATAAAACATTTTCATATAGGTTTTCATAAAATAAAATTTAGATCAAATTTTTGTTGCCATTTCCAATAATTACAACACTGATGAAACGACAGAATACGATCGAAATAGACAGAGGAATATGCATGTAGACAATCTGTAATAATTCAGTTTATGGACGATAGTTCCGACAGATCACTGCTTTTTATCACACAGACAGGGGCATTTTTTAACTATATAACTGGGGGGCCAAAACCCCCCAGCCCCCATGGTGGCCCCCCCAGTCAACCATTTTGCCCCCCCCCCAGTCAAAGTCCCTTTTCTCTAAAATATAAGCAAAACATGGAATTTAGAAGGAAGGTTTGATATTCTAGTAACTGAAATTTGCTTTGTGAATCTTATGTCCTGTCTTTTATGTTTAATAAATACCTTAGATTTTAAACATTTCCCAGGCAGTGGATTGCATTTCCCAGACCTTATAGATTTGAGTTGTTGGACAAGTTAGTGACCGCAGGGGGCAACAGGCCCTCAACCAAGTGTTTTATAAGGGGGGGGGGATAATTTTGGCCCCCCACCAAAAAAAAACCAATTTGATTTCGAAACTAGAAGTATTTGAAATCATATATACATATAATCAAATATCTGTAATCGATATTTTGATAACATTTCTCGTAATAATCCATCATGACTGGCGGATATCGATCATAGACTCACAAATCATAATGAACGAATTAATGAAAGGGCCTAACAAAAGACGTATACAAGACTTTGAAAATGCCATTTCCGACGATTTAGAGACGCAAAATTTTTTCGCTCTGTGCCAACCATGGTGGCGCTTTGTGGGAGTCGGGAACGCTAAGTTTATCAAGCTGGCTCCCTAAGTGACGGCCAAGTTGTGGTATCTACATAAACATACTATGCAAGTACTTAACTGAAGGTTCAGTCTATCTACAGCATAATGTAATGCTGTATATCCAAAAATCTGTTTCAGAAAATGCAGGGAATTGCAGTCATAGGGGTAGAAAAATACAAAAATTTTCTGGGAGAGAAAACCCCAGACCCTCTCCAGGGTATATTATCCAATATATCGTTAATTAAATACACCTTCGCCCATTTAGTACTACTGAATTCTAAATTTCCACTACTAAAAACGCTGTTTTCTGACAATCAGAAATCTGTCAAATCTTCTCCAAAGTCCAGGAAATGGCATTTCAGAGACTCTAAATTTAAAAATTTCCTCGGGCCTTCGGCCCTCGCTTTCAGTCCCCCCCCCCAAACGAAAAGAGCTTCCTACGGCCCTGCTCCCCCCCCCCTACTATTAAATGCGATACCACACCAAACTTTATGTTACCAACAAACCATCTATCATTGCTCCACACTCGGTATAGTATGGTCCCTTTTTGTAGATGGCCCCCCCACTGCCGAATTCTTAAAAAATGCCCTGGGTTTTGATGACGTCAGGAGTTGGGTTAACCATACAAAAACTACTCTAAAATGACCGAGTAACAATCCAAAATTGTTTGAAATGTTTATTGTTTGAAAAGTTTTTAATCATTTCTTAATTTCAGAGAACATTGGGCTTTAACTGATGTCACATACACGAAAACTATAGGCATATTGATGTACGGAAAGTAAGGGCATATTGATAGATGGTCAGCTCAGGTACGCTGAACATACCGTAATTACTCGAATAAACGCCTCCCTCGAATAAACGCCGCAGGGACAAGCAAAAATATTATTAAACGCCGCCCTCGAATAAACGCCGCATTATTTCACATCGATGCGGCGTTTATTCGAAGCATTCATAACATATGAACTTTATTCTCGGCTTTTTGGGCTAGTGTTGTTGTTGCAAAATTTGCAATAAACGCCGCCCTCGAATAAACGCCGCCCTCGAATAAACGCCGCACCTTGAGCGCCAAAAATTTAATAAACGCCGCGACGTTTATTCGAATAATTAAGGTATCTGCGAGTGTTTATCGTCAGATGGAAACAACGGTAATTATATCTAGGCCGCGCGATAATGGGAGACTTGTACGAAACCTAACTCGAAAGGTTGACAACCCGCGAGAAAGCCTGTGTGCAGGCAAAGTCACAAGACGACACTTGATATGCGCGGTATTCATCTCAGGGAAAAGCCCGCAAGTAATTCTTATTCAATGAGCGTTGAATACAACAACCTTTAATTTGCATTCAGGCAATTCAGCTGTTTTTATTACCAACATTAAAATTTTCCCCATCAAAATACTTCAATTTCTCACAACAACTAGTGAATAAATCCTAAATAATAAATTTAAATAAACTCTAATATTAATTGTATTATCAATAATTCCCTAGATTTCACGGCAGTGAACATTTTGTTGATGCTAATTTAAACACAGCCACACAGCCACAGGCGATAGCTATATCAGCTTTCCATGTTCGCTTGTACGCGAGCCAGCGTTTCTGTACGATGCCTAGCAATTTTTGTACCGCTATATTCTAGTCGTCCCTGTGCATTTAAACAACAATTTGGTCGACAGCTACAAGGAAACGTTCCTTCGTCGACCTGACATCCGATGCCGTTTAAACAACAGCTACAAGTCTGTGGGAAGCAATATTCGCCACAACTACATCCACAGTTGAGTCGTGATATCCTGATATCGCGAGCGATTTTCAGTTCGCTTTTCTTCCATTTCTTAACCCCGGCCAACCGTAGCAATTTTTGGCGTACTTTGGAAGGCAGAGGTTCTCTTTCAAACGTACGAAACTCGTCGTTTATCTTACATTGTTCCGAGTAGATATGTCTTGAAGATAATCCAAGGGCAACACCCGCAAGAGAAGGAATACAACAAAAGCTTTGAACTCGTTGAAAATAAAACACTGTCACGTCGCCGTAATGTACTGATTTCTTTGTGAACTTCTTAATCCTATTCGATTTATCCTCGTCGTCATCTTCGAATTTTCGCTTAGCCATTCTACATCTGTTTAGTGATGAAATCTTCCAACAATCTCTTCAGTTCAGACTACGACAAACTTGATTAGCTAGGCATCAAAACATTATACCTCACAGCCACCAACCAATGGTGACTCGATACGACAGACACTCTTTACATGGAGAGTTCGAGCGCAGTCTATTTCCGTCGTGGCATGAGACTGCAATCTTGGTTACCAGGTTATGTCTGAACCAGTTTTGAAAGGCTTTCTGGAAGAATGCCAAGTGCAGGTGGTTACTGTGGAGTGTGAACAAACGATAAACGGTCACTTCACAGCATTCGTTCAAATGTTTCTCTTCAATTCGCCACAAAAATATTCGCGTTTTTTAACCATGAAATTCTATATGTATACTACCATCCTTCCGGAATATACAGCATTTGTATGTAACCTTTTTACGAAGTGTTTATATTTAGAAAAGCATGTCAAAAAACATGTCTGGGTCAAGGTGACCCGAAGGGCAAACCTACGGTGTCCAACAGAGCGTAAAATGAACGGGGAATTCAAATGCCATATAAGTACGCTCCTACATTTGCTGTCTTCTCTGTTTTGTAAATACAAAACAAGTAGGGCCTGATATTTGGCCAGCTGCCCAGACAAAGAGCTTATTCTTATTGTGTGTACAGTTTTGTACATGTGTATGTAATTCATAAAGCCTGTTCAATGGTTCAATGGAAGCCAACATGTTGGTCCTACATCCCCAATAGTGTTGTATGCCGAACATGTTGGCCTCGTTTGGACACTATGTTTGAATACATTGTATCGGGTTTGACATTTCTTTAAAATTTTCATGCAACATTGCCATCATTCGACGATTAAGCCTGGTTTACACTTTACACTATCAAAGTTTCTGTGATCACAGTATAGGAATTTTGCATAGATAAATTCTAAGTTTTGAAGGATTTGTAAGAAATGTTTGAGGGAACTTATTTTGTGTTAAACACAGAGTCAAATATTTCTTACAAATCCTTCAAAACATAGAATTTACCTGTGTAAAATTCCTACTGTGATCACAGAAACCAGCCTGGCAGCCTTCAGACGAGGTTGAATGGGGCTTCAATTTGGCCGCGGCTGTCAAATGTTAAATAGACAGGATCTTCCCACAAGTGTTTTTTCTACTATATGCAAATCAGGCATTTTTTTATGCAGAGATATATCAACATTTCGTTACATTGGCCATCAGTACAGGGTTGTGCCTGTCACGATCAAGTGGAAACCTGGTCTTCGGCAGTGCTTGCAGCTAGCCAAAATAGAGCAGAATGTGTGACAGGAGAGCATGAAAAACACGGAGATTTTTAAGACAAAGAAGACAGCAATTGCACTGCGTTCCGCTTGCTCTGCAGACTATTGTTATGCAAAGATTTTCGGGCCAAACGGCTAGCACACGGCCAGTGTGCTGCTTTTCAAAGAGTTGCATACCAAGGGATGCATACCAACGACTATTTGTTTGGCTTAAGCCTGGTTCATATATTGCGGTATGCCTACGCTATCATTGTTTACAGTTGTTGATGCATACATTCTTTTGTGAATTATTTGGTTGAACTGCTCACGACAATAGTCCGCCGACATACCGCAAGTATATGTGAACCAGGCTTTATTTGGGTACCAGAGGTTTATTTGGCTTACTTGGGTAGCTTTTTGTGAGCGTGTAACCTCTGGCAACTCACGTCAAGTCTTAAAGGCTTTAGATTATGCGGTATTTTTGCTAGCGTGGAACAATCTCTGGCATGGGTAAATATCTCAATTTTTTGGGCATTTTGCTCGACAGAATTAACAGTAAAGGTTTTGCAGATGATAATTTCGAATGGAAAATTATATACAATTCTAGACGCTAGAAATTTACTACAAAACCTTTAAATCTCTGGCACGAATGGTAACCTGTCGTGGTCTTCCTTCAACTAGAACTAGAAGACACTGCAAGTTTCTCATCTGACCTGACTTATATCGTGGAGTTGTCTTTTAGCGTTTCTTGAACGTTCATGGCTTTGAATACAGCATGGTGAGCAAGAAATGAGGTTTCATTTTCTAAAAGGAAATAAGAGGCTCGCCATTAATACTTATTCAAAACTCCGTCAATTCTGCTGAGGGCGACTTTGGATAGTTTTATGCGGAGCATTATGACGTGTATGCTGACGTCAGTTGAGTGACTCCCATCACAGAATAAAGACACACAGAAGATCTACTCGGCCAAAAAAACGTACCCGCTGCATTGAACTATAAATAAACTGGAAGGCTAACTCAGGGGGGGGGGAATTGAAGCCAGTGCATTTTAGTTTTTCTGAGTTATGAGCAGAAATACTCAACACTGAACGTTGGGCTATATATCAAATTGAAGCTATTGAAAAACGCTATTTGGTGTAGAAATTTCAAGACTTTAGCTAAAAGGGAAATATTGAAAAACTACAAACATAATTACCGATAATTTGCCGTTTTGCAGTTGTTTTTGTATTTTTTAAATATTTTTCTTTTCGCTGAAGTCTTGAAATTTCCACACCGAATAGCAATTTTCAATAGCTTCAATTTGATATATAGCCCAACGTTTGGGGTCAAGTATTTCTGCTCATAACTCAGAAAAACTATTTTGGCTTCATCAAATCATAGGCCTTCATCATAGCAGTTAGCCTTCCAGTTTATTTATAGTTCAATGACCCGCTGCCACGCCGTGATTCGTCATCAAAATGCTGACGCGATGGTCCTAGCCAGTGCGCTTATATGAGAGGCATTCCCCCCTGGACGTCCGCCATTTTGAATATTAGCAGGGAGGTGAATGCCTCTCATAAGCGCACTGGCTAGAGGCGCTTTCCATTTGATGGCCTGACTGGTCAGACCCGAATTCTTTTCTCTGTATCAATGGAAAGATCTGGTCTATGTTTCTCAAATATCTAGCGAAAATGGACATCATTCCAATGTTATCTAAATTTTCCGATTGATCAGATAGGTCCGAAGCCCAAATCACAAATGTTTTGTGTTCTATTCAACAATTTGACCGTTCTGACCGTCTGGCCGTGTTAATAGACAGATTTAGAAAAGACGACGCGACCTCAAAGACGACGTGAAAATGGCGTGTTCTGTCCATATATGGATGTGCCACGCCATTTTGACGCCATTTACACGTCGTCTTTGAGGTCGCGTCGTCTTTTCTAAATATGTCTAATGGAAAGCGCCCCTGGACCATGGCGTCAGCATTTTGATGACGAATTACGGTTACGCCAAAATCATAGGAAAAACAAAAAGTCGCCAGTCGGGCTTCTGTATATTCTCTATTCTGTCCTCCCATGATGTAAAGATTATCATTTTGTGCGTTTCATTAATTTGCTAAGATTTCTTTGCGTTTACTTTCCACTTCGTGTTGCCATATCCTAGCCTCTCTTCTAAGCACGGGCCGTTTTCTTTTCCAAACATGGTCAGGACATCACACGTTTCAACATGGAAACATCCGTTCTTGTTTAAACTACGAACGTCAAACTAGACTGAATGTCACTCTTGACTTGATTTCGAGCAAGAACTGTTAACGGCCATAGACATAGCTAACGGCTGGATGGTGTGCACGTGGATGTTGACTGTTTCTCTGAAAGTTCTCTCTTTGTCGTTCTCCTTGTCCTTCAAAATATAGCGCAGGGCAAAACGTGCGAGATAACCTCAATACCTGATATATGTTTAGTAAGATCCAGCCAATTTTGAAGCCAAATTTGAAGATATTTTGAGGAAATATTAGTTGTATCCAAGCCTCGCACATGACAAGCCTTCATTTAAGAAATAAGTTGAAATTAGAATACAAGCTTATCAGAATATAGAAAATCATTCAAAGACAATCTGATCAGCCAATCCGTTCTCACAAATCGCAATAATCGACTGAACTCATGTGAGAATAAATGTTTTTAACTCAAATCACAAATGTGAATCAATACTTATATTGACCTCTTCCAACTGTTTTTCATTCAATATTTCAATTCCTTCGCGAGCAAGGGCAACGTCGTCTTTGTGAATTACAACCATTTCCTTTTGTAGATTTCTCTTAAGCATAAACGATGGCCACCATGATCTCATTATCCAAAACGAACACAACTTTTGCTGAACAAATGAAAAATAGGAAATACAGAAAAAAGGAAATTTTGAAAATTTTAATATATTATAAAAAAAGCCTCAAGATACGAGCTGAAATCAATAAGAGAAGTATATCAAACTTGTGACATTTCGTTTTTATTTCAGAGACATCATCAGACAGACTAATAGTAAAATCTCTCTCTCTCTCTCTCTGATGACATTTTTGAATTAAGACAAGTCAGTAATTTGCAGTTGCAGTAACTCAAACTCATTTCATAACTCAAGTTTTTCAAGACAACTTGAGCCATTATAAACAACAAAAACAACCGTATTTAACTCTGCCTCAAAAAGGATATCAACATGAAAAAGAATCAATTGCTTAATTGAAACCTCTCTCTTCTTAAGTAATGAGAGGTTTTTACTAATTATTATATAAAATATCATTACACTATATCGGTGCTCCTATCTCTAGCTTGCTTGCATCTCTGCTTGCTCGTTGCAGTCGTTACAGTATAATGAAGGACTTACCAAGTGTTTTCGTGCTAGACTGTCCAACTCAAAAATTCCACTTGAGAAAGCCATAAAAGTCTTTTCAAACGGTGCATCACTGTCTAGATTAGCCTAAACAGAAATAAGGTATAGTAGGTATCCATAAATCAAAAACAGAAATAAGGTATAGTAGGTATCCATAAATCAAACAAACAGTACAAGGTAATTTTCTACAAACACTTCACACCCTCCCTTTTTATGAATATTATTGCTCACCCTTGCAGTTATTTTGTGCAGCAACTGAAGTTCTTTACTTCCAGGTTTTTTTGTTTCTTCGTTAATGATATTAAATATGGAATTCCGGCATTCTGCTCTCTCCTTGCTGTCCAATGCTGTGAATTTCTCTTTTTGTTTTGCTGTCCAAAAATGATCGGATAGAAATTGTCGTGGCCTCAAAAATCTTTAACAAATAAAAAATTTGAAGTTATTTTTTATTCAATCAAGATATGGAAATAGTCATAAAACAGTGAAAGAAATTATGATGAACAATATTATTTACGGTAACTAGTTTGTACAATTAGTAAAGAAACAACATTTAACTGACAAGCTTCACAAGCAATTTCAATAGAAACAAGTTAATAGCCATATCATTCAAGCAAGCAGCTAATTGTCTTGTACTAACAGGGACGTCACAAAGTCATTAACATTGGGGTCCCTGATATTTTGGCCAAGTTTTGGCAAACATTTGGACAAATGTTTTAAAAGTCTGACTCCATCAAATTTGTGATGGAAAAACTGAATGCTTGTGAGGCATCTTTTTCCCCAAATATTTCTTTTTCTTTGCACTTTTGAGTATGACTATAGTTATTTGCCAATGTAAAACAATTTGAAAAACTAACAAGTGACCAATTATTTTGACCAAATATTTTCCACTTTGACCAACTTTTTGAACTTAAAAAATATTGGGGTGTTACATTACCTCCCCACAGTTGACATCCTTGTGTATTTACCCAATAATTGGACCAAGATAACCAATCACAGGCAAGCAAGATAAAGCTACAATTGGCAAGGTCTTTTTTATATTCTTTTGAGTCTACATAATTGTAAAACATATAACGTTTTATTAATACATAATTTAATCACAAACTTTTTAATCTATCACCAAGAGTATCCATTATCACCTTAAACATTTTCCATAACTCCTTTCTCTGCAATACATCATAATCCCAACTGTTGTCGCGCAGTTTTCGTCTGATTTTCCATGTCAATTTAACATCTTGAAACAAGCGCTTGCCTCCCAGATAAAAATCATATAAAATTTTTCTAAACTTTTGAAATCTGCCAGCCAAAGTAGTCGAATCCGTGCTTGTACAACGAAAAACAAAATCATTGACTTTATGCCGCCTGTCTATCACTCCTTTGCGACAAATACGGCGATTTTGTCGATTTTCAAGCGCAGGTATACAGGATGTGCTTTGCGCACTAAAGTAATTACATCTAGAGGTATGTTTATATATAAAAGTTGAGGCGCTTAGCAAGTTAAATCTCGTCAAATGAGTACAATTTTTGTGTACAAAACTTGCTGCATTGACCGCCATTTTGTTTCCTTCTCGGATTACCACTGACCGCAACGAACCATCGTCTCATTCTCAACTTGACACTTTAAAAAATTGTATTTAAAAATACTTCCTTTTTTCCTAATTTTGAATGAGAAAATAGCTTCAAATGGGGCACATTCAAACTTGAACATTTTTTCTCCATATAGACTGCATAAAATTGACAATATCACACAATTTGCGCGACTTTTTTTAACAAAATTAGTCCCTTTTGAAACACTGGTCTCAGTCCCCACGCGGCCAGAGGAATCCAATATGGCCGCTGGAAAATTTTAGTATATTTTACTTTAAAGTTAGTTTCATACCATTTAGTGCACGTTTAGTAAACATTTCGTGATTATTTCTATTATTTAAGGTTAAAGTAATGATACGCAACGATATTTTAATAAAAACTAGACGCTTAACTGTACAAATTCGTTATTTTATGCTGTACAAGTATAAATATCAATCTGGGAGGGCGATTTCTAGTCATAGTATGTCGTACAGTAAGATAGCGACGGTGCTCACGGATAAAGTAACCTCGCTTACAAAACAATTCGACAGCGTTCTTGGGATTTCCGAGGTCCGTAGTGCACAGAGTTTGGTCCAGACAGCCGAAGATGAGTTTATGAAAAGCAGACGCTGCGTGGGAGAGACAAGAATTGAACTTATTCGATTACAGAATCAACTACGCGACCTTAGGAGCAAACTGGACCGCATCCCACGCGAAGATGAACGTTATTTGCAGCTAGCTACGGAAGAACACAAAGCATTAATCGCAGAGAGAAAAGCCAAGACGGACTTGGAGACGTTAGAGACGCTTGAAAGAGATCAGTTTTCTGCTCTGTCAGCAGCAGTGAGAGCAGCCCACGAGAAAGAACGAAGTAGAGCAGAGAGAACGAAATATTGGTCGATTATCGCTTCTGCATGTGGCGCTGTTTTAGGTTGGTCCCGGACATCTTTCAATTTCGCTTTGACAGCCTGGCACACTCAATAGAGAGGTCAGAATTGACTTCCACTACCGGCTACCATTAACCAATCAGATGCGTTTGATATATTCAATTAACCAATCAGATGCGTTAGATATATTCAATTAACCAATCAGATGCGTGCTAAGCCAGTGAGAGGTAGTGGTAGCAGTAGTGGAAGTCAAATCTGAACCTGGGGCGGACAGACTTGACTCATCAAGACGCATCTCTTTCATCCTTTTTTTTGCCTAACTTACGTTGAAAATTTACCCCACTTGTCAACATCACAATTTTTCTGGCGGAGGCAGCTCCCTTTCTCCCCCCCCCCCTCCCCCCCTATGAATTAACAACTAACAGTGTCAATCCTTGTGTAGGTATCCTTGGTTCGACGATAATCAACATGAAAAGAATGAAGCAAATAAGATTAACCGTGCAAGAAAACAATGAAGAATTTATCGCCAAAACTATGGAAGAATTAGGTACACTTTTTAAACCTGGACAACATGAAATTACTACCTCTGGAGTTGGTCAAGCCCACAGTCAACTATCAAACGATTTTCTTGCATTGTTAAACGAAAATACTAAAATGTTGGGGGCAATCGATGCAAAAGTTGAAAACAGACATATACGAGACTTAGCATGGTGGTCAAAAGCTAGCTTGATTGCTTCTGTGACCAGCTCAGCTTGCTTGATCTTTTATATGCTCTCTAAGTAAAATAGAATAGGATATAATATACAACCGTATGAATAAACCTAATCAGTTAATAACGCATGTTTATGCAAGTTACCTGTTTTGGCAAAATATGGTTTTCATTTGGTTGACGGTAAAACAGATGTAATATTTGTCAATGTATCTCGACAATAGTTAAGGATGATTTGCATACAGCTCACAAAAGACAAGATAGATCCAGACATTTCACTTCAGCTTATTACTGTAAGCATAGAATGGAACAAAAATAGCCAATTTGTTGGAATTAGATATTTAAGGAATGGATTATTGGGTGGTGACGGGCATTCACACAAGTTAGCTAATTAGGTTTATTTTGTACTGAAGAAAAATATAATTGATCCTAGATAAATCTAGAAATATAACATGAAACATGCTCCGAACTCAAGATTCGAGCTATTTAAATTCATTAAGACGATGTGAAATTTACAAAAAATGTAAGATTAAAAGTTTTCTTTAACTTGACCGCAGTTTGTTTGTTTGGACTAGTAATCTGCTGGTAATATAGTGGGAGGGAGACATCAGACGCAATCATCAAGATATCTGTCGGATAATATGATAAATACACGCAGTGTATGTTAATGAGCTACGTGGTGGGTCCCGTAAAGAGGATTGCGTGATATGACCAAGGCAATTAGCATAATGTTATACAGTCGTTAAACGGTTTACAGGGAACTAAAACTATTGAGATATCGTTTTTTCAGGTAGTTCAGACACAAACAATGGCCACTACCTACACTGGGCCACCACGTTTGAGATATCTTTTTCAGGTAGTTCAAACACAAACCACTGCAGCTTATTGTAGAATACTACCTACACTGGACCACCACGTTTTAGATATCTTCTTCAGGTAGTTCAGACACAAACCACGACAGCCTATTGTAGAATACTACTTACACTGGACCACCACGTTTGAGATATCTTTTTCAGGTAGTTCAGACAAACCATGACAGCTTATTGTAGAATACTACCTACACTGGACCACCACGTTTTACATATATTGTTCAGGCAGTTCAGACATAAACCATGCATGATAGTTTATTGTAGAACACCTACACGTCGTACACTTGATACGTAGTAATTATCGCACGTCATGTATGGGTCATAAAAACAAAACTAGACCTAGACGCCTAGGGTTCCATTGGGAAATTACATATAGGCTTTGCCGTTAAACTTCCTGCCAAGAACCTTCGTGCTCAAATCGTGCACTAGATCAATATGTTTTAGGTAGTGTTAACGTTTTACGACAAAGACAAATCGTCGCCATGGTAATAAGACAACCATATCAAAGCTATCCAAAATAATGTTTACAAGATGCATTCCCAGCCACTTGTGACAAGTTCTGTAAACAGATAACGAAACTCATTAAAACTGAGCAACACTTGACGAAATTGAAATTTCAAAATTACCCTCTACAGCCAGCCACGAAGGATGTAAAAATACCAGAGACATTTTTTATAGCAAAAACAAAGTTACATACCTTTTCTTGAAAAAGAAATTCTCAGCATTTCGAAAATTTTTTTTGCCTGTTGAACAGATGTGGGGCATGCATTTAATCGGAATTATTTCGGTACCGAGGTTTTTGCTTCCTGCGCGAAATAATTGTCAAATCACCAATAGGAAACGGGCATTCTCTGGACTGGAAAGATTAAAAAAAATGCAAATATCATTTTTATAACCCTGTGAGTCAGAAGCTTGTGTGGTACTGAAGTAGATTGACTGGTGTATTACGGAAAGGAATTTCTTGGTTGGTTCAAAGAAACATTTTCTTACGAGAAGGTATGTATATGATTTTAGGATAATTTTACTTATAATTCGTTAATGATAACAGATCATTATATGGGGGTGATTTATCATGAAAAATGCATGGTTAGAAAGTACTTAAACGGTTTCGACATGTGATATGATTTATTGTTTGATAACTCTGTGGAAAACTGACAATGTGTATAAATATGAAAAGTGTTCAGCCAATTGAACGTCTTCTCCTGTGGCAGACATTAACCCACGCAGACAAATAAAGTTTTCTTGTGAACAGTCAACAAGTCTTCCTTCACAAATTCCGTTGATAATTTTACTTGACTCTTCTTGTTTCCCAAAATATAATTGATGTATAAACTAGGTTTCTTAAGCCCGAGTGAAAATTGGTTTCTTAATGGTTTAAAGGCATTTAATTTGCAACGCCGCAGGTATGAATTTCAACGGAACTGCTGGCGTTTTCCCAACCGCACTCCAAAGTTTGACTTCAAAATTTAATATAATTCCACTCTTTTACTCTGGCACAACGTTCTGACAATGTTGGAGAGCTTTAAATTTGATTACAAGTACAACTGTACAAATATAGAAGTGGACGGACTCGTCAATTGCGCGCTAATCACGCCATATTTCGCTGTTTCCAACGTCACGGTGTAGACGGTAGCGATAAAACAATTTAGAAAATTAGCATATGCGCGCACGTGAAAAACATATGTCGCGCAATATTTTAATATCTTACTTTGTCAGTTCAAATCTAGTTCATCGCGAACGCGACAGGGTTGGAGAAGTCTCAATGAAAACTCACGCGTCTTTGGTGAACTATTGACTTTGAATCAAATTTATTTTTCAGAGCAATTGTTAGACAAATGAATATAGGTGCTAATTGAGTGATCTACAACTCCTCCAAATCTATGTTCTACGTTCAAACGTGGGAGTCCAATGTCACAATGTGCATTATTAAAATTCTACATTAAACTGCTGCATTTTATGTATGAAGAAATTCTGACACAACCGCGGCAGCTGATGTGCTCCTCAATAAAAGAAAAAGCCAAAATGCTCTATTAACTGATATTATTATTTATTTAACACGTCCGTGTTACCCGAAAATTGGTATGACTAATTTTGACGGTATTTTGCATCAAAGCACTCGTGTAAGGAAACAAAAGAGTTTTATGTTTTGTCACATGTGTTGAAGATTACACCCAACCCCGTGTTGTTAACTAACATTCCTTGGTTAACTTAGTTTTTATATGATAATCCTTTTCCAGATACAAGATGGCAAAAATATTAATAATTTTCCTTATATTACATCTATTGGTTGACCTCGTTACCATGGTACCGCTGATGTCACCACAAGATGTCCTGCGCGAGAGTCACGAGAAGGCGCCCACGCTATTCGTGATGAAGAAAACGCAACTGAAACACGACTGGTGCAAAACACGCGTTCTACAACAAGTCGTGAAGAGCGACGGATGCCGGCCATTACAAGTGCACAACAACTACTGCTACGGTCAGTGTAACTCCGTGTACATCCCTCTGTCAGGAGATACGAGTTCTTTCGAGTCTTGCGCAGTCTGTACACCCATGCTGGCGTACTACAAAGTTGTCACATTAAAGTGCCCCAGGAAAATTGTCAAATTCAAGCGAAAGAGAATTCAATATATTAAACGATGTCGTTGCACTGCTGCTGAACTCACAGCTCTAAATACTTATGAAAATCCATAAAGGACGCTAGCTCTCCTCTAAAATAAAGTGCTATAGCCTTGCATATAGCAATGTAACAGACTATAATAGTTGTGTAGTACGCATGAGCAATGGTAGCAATAGTTGAAGTGCAGCCACTAACCTTTAAGGACTTTAAGAACTAAAACTGAGAACTTTAAGGGATGACATAAATTACTGGTTGCCCAGTATTTTACATTGTAACCTTATATTACATCAATACTAAATATACAATACAATAATACTTATTAAACTAAAATGTCTGTGTGATATAAGTGTTCGCAGTTCTTAATAAGGTATTTTAATTAAATGTTTTTCATGATTACATAAACTATTTTTGGTGGTGATGTCAGGACTATAAGTTGCTTCCAAAGTTGGGCTCCGCTGACATAAAAAAGAATGAAAGCCACACTTTGTGCAGATCTTGGCACCACCTATTATGGTATTCCTGGCAAATGTAATATTTCAGTTAATATCCTAAGAAAAAATGTAATATATGTTTGTAGTAAAAAACTAGTCATCCTTTTATCGACTTTTTCTTATTTATTTATTTATTTATTGTGCAGTTCGCTTCCAAACATCATACAACAATTGCATTAAAGAAGCTGGGACACCACAACAGCTAAACACCAATTACAGTGGGCCCTTTACAAAATGGCAATAAAAATAAAACAGAAATAAGGTTATTTAATTAAAGTGCCTATGACATGAAATTTCACCCCAAAGGTTTATGATTGCGTTGTAAAGATCACTTAAAATGACTTAATAATTTCTTTTATAGAATTTTTGTAACTTGCTCACTTTTCAAGATATTCAACTTTGTTTCATATGCAAATACCATCGGTGTGACATCACATCGCATAATGAATTTTCACAAAAGTATCGTTTTCTTGACGAATACGTATCTAAAAAACTTAAAAATTGCCATTGTATGTATTAATTTCATAACTGGTAATTAACTCTCTGTATTTGTTTGTAAAAATATTTTATCAAGGTAAAATATTGCGTTTTCAAAATTTCATTATGCAATGTGATGTAGTGTGATGTCACACCGGTGATATTTGCATATGAAACAAAGTTGAATATCTTGCAAAGGGGGCAAGTTACCAAAATTCTGTAAAAGAAATTACTAAGTCATTTTAAGTGATCTTTACACGACCATAAACCTTTGGGGTGAAATTTCGTGTCATAGGCACTTTAAGGTACGTTTACACACAGCGATCCGCCGTGTACGACTCGTATTTTGGCGTATGTAATCGAGTAGGCACGCGTAAATTTGGGAGTGCATTTAAAATTTCACCTCAATTCAGATTTTTTCGAATTGTGGCAGCAAATGAAATCATCAGTGCACCAGAACCCGAATCGCACAGGACAAATCGCAATGTGTAAACACCCCTTTAAGTAACAACAAGTTAATGGTCGGATGAGACTTCTGCTTGTGTTACATTTGATGCAGACAGTCTTTCAAGTTCGTAGACAGTCTTTCAAGTTGCCGTAAGTTATATGTCTTATATATATGAATGCAAATTACTTTTCTTCAATTTTTGCTGCTATACAATTTCATACCTATACAGTGCCATAAATGTCAATTGCGCATTTTACTAGTGAACAGTAATTACAACTTACACAATATAAAAGTCACGTGACACGTTGCGCGCGAGTTCACAAGCATTTGCGTCAATTTACTAATATTTTGCGATGAATTTCATCCAACCAATAATTACGCATGCGCATTTACGGACCAAATTATGATGTCACAATACGCTAGATATGCAAATGTTAAAAACTAACATGCATTGCAAGTTTTACTTAATTTTCGTGTATTTTAAACTATTTGTTAACCAAAGTTCGATGTGCTCAGAAACAGAGCCAAGCTGGAAAGATTGTCCGACGGATGAAGTGAAAAAGCTCATCGATTGCAGTCATTTTGGACTGACTAAAATTCCACTAGACATATACGATTCGTCTTGGAATGAGATGTGAGTGAATTTAAATATAGGTGGGTTTTCACTAAATGAGACAGTTTGGTACTCGTATAAATATTATTATATTGCAGCCGATTTAGCAGAAATCCTTTTACATGCGACTGTACTATGAATACATTTCTTCACGACGAGCGGTTTCCGGAGTATTTACGGAGAACCAAAGATCTAAAGAACGCAGAGTGCGCTCAGCCTACGAGCTATGCAGGGGTGGGAATATTGAAGTTAGCTGATGATCCAACATTTTGTAAAGATGGTGGTGAAAAAATCGAACAAGGTTTGAGATTTGAAATATCTTTGAAACGTTTGGTAGCTAGTGACTGTACAGTCGTTAGATAAGGTTACCACGCATCATGGATCGAGGCAGCCGGCGCTTTAAGGTCCAGACACACCGGACGCGAATCGACAACGCGACGCGATTTTTCGATTTTCACTGATCGTTAACTTTGATTCTAGTTTAAATTTTCCAAATATTTAGAAGCGCTATAACATTTTGAGTTATTTGGTCTACATATCTTTCAAAATTTTCTCTCATTGGCTGTTTTATTAACTTTCAAGAACTAAAAAATCGCGTTGCGTTGTCGAATCGCGTCCGGTGTGTCTGGACCTTTACACTCAATTAATACCCAGTTGTCAACTTAATGAGCTGCCCCTGCCCCGCCCACCACCCCGCCCACCACCCCACCAGTCAGTTTCTCCTCACTGCTTTTATATTAAAATAGATTTCACTCATTTGATATAAAGTCAAATACTTGTATGATTTCCGAGCATAAATGGCCCATTTTTCCTCCAATTAAATCATAAAATAACCGTACCTTGTCACAACTAGAATAGATTTCTATCAATGAAGGACTATCGCATTCGGCGAACATATAATATCTTCAACTTTTACGCCATTGTTGTTATCCATAAAACTTCTTAGAAGTGTGACATCCCTTCACGAAGCAGCTCCAGTCGCTCTTTCGACACACAATATATGTAAATAAAGATTGTCACGTCCATCCAAATCAGTATAGTTTTGTTGCCACGATTCCCACGAACAGTACGAAAATTCGCCATGATTTACAATTTTCAATTTGTACTTTTGAATACCGCTCCTTATAAATTGAGTAGTGAACACAACGAGAGCTAGTCGAACAATGACGGCGCGTCCCGGGAAATCGATAACTAGTAGTCTATAGTCTATTATATATTCTATGATCGTATCGTGCCGAAACGTGGCGTATTTACTATAAATGACTTCGACACAAAAGAAAATGCTACGGTACGGTTGAAGTGGGAAACGGGCTTTATACCATCTTCTTACATCGCCAAGTACTGACGCGTTTTAAATCTCGTAGCCGTGGCCAAATTGACCGCGTTAACGGCAGTTTTGAAAAGTCTCGTAGTAAAACAAGCACCGGCTATGACTGGTCTACGAGATAATGGCGCATAATACGTAATGGCGTAAGAAGATGACGAGCATGTACAAACAACGAATCTCGTATAGCCGTACTCGTTGTAAGATCTACAGCTCTCTATTTTCGCATGAAGCTGCAGAGTACAACGAAAAATTCATCTTCCTTCGGATTTAATTCTAGACGGCCGCTCTACCCATTGAGCTATCGAGGCAACGGGGATTGATAGCGAGTCTTGTCCAATTTTAAGTGCAAGATATATTTTCGTCACAACTTAACACGTGTCTTGAAGGACGCGCGTGCAGTGTTTCAATTCTAATTCAGACAACAAATTTTTCGTTGTACTATATATGAATAATATGAAAGTAGTTTTCCTATCTCTGAGGATGGTTTGGAAATAGGGCCTCTATTGATATCAGTTTTGGTTGTATTTCTGAAAAAGTTACCCTGTTTTAATTAATGGACCTATTACCTAATGAACAAAATTTTGATCTAGACAAGTCTAGACAAAAATTTCATCACAGCTTGAAAGAGCATCACAAAATTAGTAATATACCGAAGTTTCGTTGCGAAATGTTGTAAAGTGTGGATAATATAGTCCTGCGAAGTTTGCCGTTTTTCAGTCATTTTGTATTACGCACGGGAAATTGATACCTTTTTTCAGAAAGCGGTATCAATTTTCCGTGCGTAATAGAAAATGACTGAAAAACGGCAAACTTCGCAGGGCTATATTATCAGCATTTTACAACATTTCGCAACGAAACTTCGGAATATTACTAATTTTGTGATGCTCTTTCAAGCTGTGGTGAAATTTTTGTCTAAACTTGTCCAGATCAAACTTTTGTTCATTAGGTAATAGGTCTATTGAAAGATTTTGTCTTATCTTATTTTTGAGAATATACATTCGAACGTACAATAACACTCATTGTGTTGTTTATTTGAGAGAGAGAGAGCTCACTGGGCGAAACGCACGTGCATAGTCTAACCCCTATACTACTTTCGATTAGGAGATACACAAGAGACGACTATTTATCTCACCACGAGTTGTTACCAACATATTCAACATGGAAAACAAAACAAAATCCCTTCTTTCTTTCGAAATTGTTTGGTAGGACCACCAATGATGATATGTAAGTAAAACATTATATTCAAGCACGCATTAACGAATGACGCGCATGCAAGTCCCTGAATTAAACAACTGCATATTGCATAGATATCTTATATACACTAGACAGTGCAACTAGTTATTCTGCAATTCAAAAATTGAAGTCGTGATTGCAGTCTCAGGTCGACCGTTCCCATGAAATGAGAGAATATTCGTATATTTCTATTTCTTAAAAAGGGAACTTAAAAATTAAGTTAAACCTATTCCAAATACATTTTTAAACTATTCAAATGATGAAAGTTATTGTTGTTTTTAAGCGTTTATTAGCCAGTGGGAACGACCAACATGGCCGCCATCTATTCAAATGGGGGTAACCGCTGGAATATTCTTGGCTTCAATTTTACTAAAAGAGATGCGCTATCTAGTCTATATAAGATATCTATGGCATATTGCCGCTGAAGAAGTAAACCGCAGTCATACATGCAATAACTAGTGTGCCAGCCCCCGGTGTACTGGTTTTTGCATCGCAGAGACTCGAAGAAGGTAACGATGGACGGTTTTATTGTATTGTTATGAAATATAGTTTTGACTTTTGTTTTTCATTTTAAGAATTTCTTTGAATCAGTCCACGGAATTAACTGAAATTCGCCTGAAATTCATTAACTGAAATTCGTTAACTGAAATTCATTAACTGAAATTTCAGGAATTTCAGTTAATTTCCGAGCTCACTGGGCGAAACGCACGTGCATAGTCTAACCCCTATACTACTTTCGATTAGGAGATACACAAGAGACGACTATTTATCTCACCACGAGTTGTTACCGACATATTCAACATGGAAAACAAAACAAAATCCCTTCTTTCTTTCGAAATTGTTTGGTAGGACCACCAATGATGATATGTAAGTAAAACATTATATTCAAGCACGCATTAACGAATGACGCGCATGCAAGTCCCTGAATTAAACAACTGCATATTGCCACGGAATTAACTGAAATTCGCCTGAAATTCATTTAAATATATGAAATTTACATAGAGTAATTACATGGCCAACAATCGCCTTGGGGAATTTTTCCAAGATGTACGTAATATAATCCCCAGTGTATTTTACAAGCACAGCTTATCAAGTTTAGGCCGCAGTGAGTAAACTGATTACAGGACATAATTATTTTACCGTAGTGCACGGTTGTTGGTTTAAGCAGGTGGATAGCGTCTAGTAGAACGAGTTATGAAAGTAACCGATGCAGTCTAGAAATGGTTGTTCGATTCTGCCAGACTGTAGACTGGTTTACACTATCGGAGTTTCTGTGATCACAGTAGAAATTCTGCATCGGAAGAATTCGTAAGAAATATTTGAGGGAACTGAACAAGTGTTTAATTGTTTAATACACACAGGACTGTGCGATTTCGGAGTAACAGTGCGAAGGCGATGAAAGCGGGCGGGGGGGGAAGGGTAGTATAGTGCCCAAAAGTAGAAGGGAGGGGACAAAGCCCGGGGGTGTGGGACGAACACCACCGAACCCCCTAGAGTTTGTCTAGGCCTCATAAGCAACAAGCCTTCCACCGCCTATCGTTCTGGATACTTTTCAGAACACAGTCTCTGAATACCTCTCGTCCCGTGTTAACGAAGCCTTAGTCTCAATATATAAAGTATTTCTTTCAGAAAGCAATGGGGCGCACAGACAAGACTCTAGCCGAGTAATTTGTAATTAGACGCAAAGTTAAGCATTACATTCGCCGCAATGAAAGTAATTAAAACCAGTCTATAGAAACTGATGGCTGCTCGTTTCTTTTTGGTAAACACAAACTTAAAAAGGCAAAATGATCAAATTATTAAAGCTAGGGGACGTAAAGGCTGGGAGACATTTAATTGCGGATTTCTTTTTCAACAAAATATTATGAATTATTATTTTTCAGCAGAATATTTAAAATGCAAAAGCTAAGTGATCCCATAGCAACGTTTTATCAACTAATGTTAATATTCACTCACAATTTACACAAGGATACAAGAGTTATGCCCATATCTCTTTGGCTTATAAGTTATATATTTATATAACATATTTAATCTCAAGATTTCAAAATTTTAATTTGTTTTCTTTTAAAGTCTTAGTCGATTTAAAATTATATCGCAAATGGCTTTGATCGCCGGAAAATAATTTACGCTTGCTTGTTAGCAAAATTTTAATTAACACTTTCTAATTTTGCTAAAAAATTGACGATTATTTATTAAAGTACGAAAATGTACTTTAATAGATATTATTTTTAGTATTACTTTATACATGCACAATGCAATTTTTAGCAAAATATTTAAGCCGGTTATTTATAGGCCGCCAAGATAACAAAGTCAAAGGCTTTCTATATATGAAGCTCGTTTAGTCAGCTGTACATTATTAGCAAATGACAGCTAAAGTTTATTTCTTAAAACAAATAATGCAAGCTCAATAATAATGCAATATATGTACGTGCACTTCTTACTAATAAATATAACAACTCACAATCAACGTTTGGCATTAAAGGATATTTTTGCTCGAAACTAAGTGACTACTAAAATTTGAACGAATTTGCATTGCGTGCATACTAGCTTGCTAACAGCATAGCTCTTTGTAAAATTCGACAGAGTTATATTTGTTTCCACATACGCGCGAGACTGCGTTTGTTTATACCTGTTACATGTCATTTTTATCGCACGGCAGATGCAATAATCCTTGTCAGTTATGAGCATGTAATTTGAATATGTCGGCATGTTCACTGGTCGTTTTAGCCCACTATATGTTGTCAAAGCTGTTTCACTGGATTGACAAGCCCAGATGTTAAAGTGAACTAATTTTATACTGCATAGTTCTATCAGTTCCAAACTGTTCTTCCTAGAGCTCCACGGTAAGTACTCTATATATTGATCAAGTGTTTTTGCTGGGAGAAACCGGAGAGCCTGACAAACTGGTATGGTCAAACTGCAAGTATACTCTTCCACAAATACTAAAGAGATGTTAAATCCTCTGACCTGAGCATAATTCTTGCACATGATGCAATAACTACGGTGCCCTCCCCCCCTTGGTCACAGAGAATTAATAGTAAACAATGACTCGCTCCATTACAAACAGTTGGACATCACAGCCTCTTTCCGGAGGCAACTAGCTAGTATAGGAGTCAACGAGTGGGCGAAAAACACAGATATAAACATATAATGATTGTTATGTATCTATAACATGCATCTTTTGCTAATCGCCACAGAATATCAAAAGAACATAATAATGAAAGCACGTTGTTAAAAAAAACAACTCGGAGAGATTACTAATCAACTTTATTACTCAAAAAGAATTACACGTATCAATTCTTCTTCTATAAGAAACAAAATTCGGAAATTGTAAAATTTGGCGCAATGTGCTATCAAAGTTTCCATCGTTTTTGTACACTTTTGAGAAACATTTGAAAAAGGCAAATTATTAAAGGATCCCACTTTTCAGCTCGGTCGCAGACTACTAGTTATTGCGACTGGTGCGTCCTGCGACTGGGCTGATGTGCGTCGAACCATTGTCGCACATCTCCCTTGAGGTCCAGTGGTATCGCTCGCCGACTCATCGCTGGGTATAACCACGCGTAACCGACATTTTAGTGTATCTATTAAAGCCGGTTTGATGTTGCGATCAAAAGCACAATAGAGCATGGGTGTCAGGAGCTCGCTAACGAAGGAGGCGTACAAGGCTGTTACATATAGCGGACTTGAACGACTAACGCTCTCTGAGCCGGCAAACAAACGTACAAAATAGACAATGACAAAAGGTAGCCAGCAGACAACAAACACGGTCACCACAGCGATTGAAACGCGGGAACCGTAGATCGCTGCAGCGCGCATTGTGGTTTGTGTTGGTTGCGGTAAAACCACGTTCGCTTGTCGCTTTCGTTCATAAAGCCTTTTCACTATTATAATGTACATCCACACGATGCACATTAGGGGTACGAGAAAGATCCCAAGTAGTTCAATAGTTATGAATAGTTTATCGACCCAAATCCATGGCATTTCTACAATCGTACATAGAGGTTTTCCGTTACTCTGTTCCTTTAAGCGTAAAGTATAGATATACGGTAACGACATCACTGAAGGAATACCCCAAGAAACGGCAACTAGAATTTTCGCCATTTTTACCTTCATAGGCCGTTTTAAAGGCTGCACGACGTTACGGTAGCGCTCAAGTGCGATGGATAGGTGCGTGAAGATATTCACACCAAAGAAAGTCAATTCCAAATACTCGATCGCCTTGCAGGCACCTTCTCCAAATTTCCATTCGTGAGTCAGCTCTTCGGTCACCTCGAACGTCATAGTGAACAGTGTTGCGAGTATGTCTGCCAGACAGATATTACAAATAAATACATACAGAGGTTTCTTTAACAACCGCCGTACTTTGCAAAGTAATACAATCAAAACAAAACTATTTCCAAGCAGAGTGAAGAAAACCAGTAGCGATAACAGGACTGTAACTAGGCTTCTTTCAGAGTCGGCCATTACCACGATGAGGCTGGCAGTGCGATACAGCAATCAAGCAAAGGACTGAGGTTCAAACGATCCCAATTGCGCTGTTATAATTCTGACACTTTGGGGTAGTCTACAGTATTCCAATCCAATGTTTCCACTGCGACTGTTAGGCAAAGACAAAGTTTTAGCCGACAATATGTCAACGATCCACGGTTATTACCGCCCTAACGCTCTGTACACAATGCGTTTGGCTGCAACGAATTCACTGTGGTCTATGCGCACGTCTACCAACATTCGGATCCAACAAGCTAAAATATTCCACTAGCACGATTCCACTGTCACAACACTGACACGATAAGTTCGGCTACACTATCCAATGATTCCGCTGATAGTTCTACTCAGTGTACAACCTGTTTGGTTATATAGTGACAATATCGATTGTCATATTATGCTTTTGGTTCCAATATTCTACTCTAATTTTGACACTCTACAATGTACTTGGCTCCAATATCCAACGCTTCAATATCCGACCTACACTTTTCCAATTACACTATTCCACCGTTATCAACGATTCCAACGAAACCAGCCTTCATGACACTATACGATGCGTTTGTAGCCAATCCAACAATCTTGGCTGACAATGCGTTCGGCAGTAGTCCAATCCAATCTAATCAACGAATTCAATCGCACCATTCCATACTAGAAATTATATTTTATTCCACTGGGCAACAATAATACAATCCAACAAGCATCAAGATTCCCACTGGCACGATTCATGCATCTGCTACTATTACCTTGACAACGAGACCCTTGTGGAATTTGAACACTTGGGGACATTCTCAACGTTCAAGTATCAACGTATCAACGTTCTCAATGTACAAAGAACATGACCGATGAGCTATAATCATATGCGCGCTAGTGCCCAATGAGAGCAGGTGCCCCATTTACACATTTTTCGAAGCAAAATTTAATTGAATATCGCACGTATACGAGATGAAAATAACTTTCCATATGTGATGGTGAAAACAGTCATGGGAAACAGAAACGACGGCATGGGAAATAGAAAGGACACTTAACAGACATGAAAATTAAAGAAAGCTTCTATTTTAGTCACACATAACATAGCTACAACTCAAACGACTCGGTACTTAATTATCATTCAATAAATGGCATATAGGATTTTCCGCCTCTTCATGTGTACTACGGTGTAAAACAAACATTGCAAATAGCCTCGAGTCTCGACTACTGATATTTTTCTTTAGCTGTAAAAATAAAACAAAGAAATTCAACCGGAGAGCATTCATTGATTATTGACACAGTTTGAACAACAGCATAGCAAAAATAATCTGATTAATAGTCAATAAGCTGTCAAATTTCATAAATATATAGAACATTATCAAATATAAACCATTATCAAATATAAACCATTATCAGATAGAAAACATTATTTATGCGAATAGTGTGTACAAATCTATATGTAGATTTGTACATGCAGCTGTGATAGCGTTTTACAACTTGAATGCATGTTCATTTACTCTTCGGATACTAACTAGTACATATGAAAAACACTGACGTTAATTTGCGCGTTTTTCAAAGACTTCAAAAATTGAACTCGTCCAATTGACATCCGTCTAATTTTCACAAATCAAATTTTGTTTAAATTTGGACGAGAATTGGATGGGAGATTAGCGAAAACTGGTCTTGCTTTATTTAGACTTTACACTGGCCAGAAGAAATCGAATGCGTAATTTGTCCATTGTATAATTTATGCATAACTTATTCGATGGCGGAGGTGTGCAATCTCTCAGTGCCGTCCATGTTCAATTAGTTCTTGTTTTCATAATGTTTTTCAGTATGCGAGCTCTGGCAGTCTAGGCCTGCATCTATTACCTAGTGTGTATTACATTTGCGACGCCTATATATTGCGCTTCAATATCGTTCGGTGACGCGCAGGCTCAATAGTTATTCCTCTTTCACTAATCTGAATTCGACAAGTGATAATGAATGCAATACTCTTTCCACAAAAGCGAGTCCTTGAAATCCATTAAAATATTGACATCTTAGGGACGAGTCATTATTAATGCCGGGTAGGGGGCCGGAGGAAATTTAGAGGGGCCACAAAAAATTTTTGACCAGTGACGGGGGGGGCAGAAAATATTTTGAACATAAGGAGGGGGGGGGCAAAAAATAAAATCGATGAAATAGTTTGTAACATGTAATATCAAAAGAGTAATGGATATATACAATATACATATTACATATATTGAACAGTAATGCCCAATATATTGAACCTAAAAGTTGTGTTCTAGCTACTGTATATGGAAATTGTCAGCCTCATCATCACCGGAGAATTTGTCTGGAGGGTCGTGCACTGCATTTCCAAATGCAAGATTCAATTGACAGTTGTTGCCCTGTTTTACGCTTTCTAACACAGTGGACCTCTTTGGCATGTTCTGTTTCTGCATGTTATTGACAGTCTCTTCTGCCATCTCTTCAATATAATGCTTCCACCAGACACAAATGTATTTTTTTCAATTAGTAAAAGACTAGGCCTGATGTGTGGGTTTTTTGTTTGAGGGCCAACAACTTTTCAGGTATAAAGTCTGAATTATCTATTGTGTCTATTGTGAAACTAAAGTCACTCCTGTCCATCTTGGCTATCATTTTCATTATTTACAATATTCTTTACAGCTGCAAGTAAACTGAGTATGAGGGCAGGAAAAATGCTTACGAAACTGACTTAGAGCCATTGAATTCAGAATTGGGG